ATTTTTAAGGAAATGTATTAGGATATGGAAACAAAACTAATGATCACACTAACAATTATCATGATAGTGTAGTATCTTTTCTGAAAAATACTTATAAAATTATCTAATAGGAAGGAGTAAGGGTATTTCTGGAAATTTTAGTCAAAAAGGATGGGAAAGGGTCATAGTGATCCCAGGAGTTTGGACAGAGCACTAGAAATAGTAAAGGTTCTTCAAATGAATGCATTTGAGATGTAGTGTAATATCTGGGATTGGGAGGGTGCTTGATAGAAGTTTAAACCCAGAGCAGAGCACTATATCACATACTGAATCATCAAAATAGTAGGATTAAGGAAAATTGAGGTTAATGTAGTGTCTTAACTGGGATTTCTATTGCTCTGATAAAACACACTGGGGAAAGTGTTTATTTCAGTTTACAGTTTAAAGTTCATCATGGAGGGAAGCTAGGGCAGGAAATCAGAGCAGGACCCTGGGAGCCAGGAACAGGAACAGAGGTCATGGAGAAGTGCTGTTACTGGAATGCCCTCATGTGTTGCCCAGTCTGTTTCTTATAGCACCCAAGATCAGAGTTGGGGATGATGCTTCCCACAGTGAGCTGGTCTCCCCAAAGATGTTATCAACGAAGATTTTGCTTTACAGGCTTGTCCACAGGCCCATCCTTTGGCTCCCCTTGTTTCAGTTGAGGTTCTCTCTTCCCAAATGACTGTAGCTTGGATCAAACTGACGTAAAAGGAACCAGCATGGATGAGTGATGACTAGCACTGTGTTCAGTGTTGTTTTGCAGCTAATACAATAACAAAGAATATTACAATGGCAATAATGTCAAAAATAAAAAGAATCTTCTTTTACTAATAATTATATACCAGCATATTTTTAAATAGTGTGTTAAACTGTCTAGAACTAGGATTAATATTTCTTAGAGTAGTAATGGTTTGTTCTTATTTTCTTCTTGTGACTACTCTATTTAATCATTTAGTCTATATTAGCTTCATTGATTGCCTATGCTATGCTGAAAACACCATACAACTTTTTACAGCATTGAGTTTTCTCATTTATGAATGAGAAAACAGATAATGAGAATTTTACTTCTTACATCATGGAATTCTTGAATTCAATTCATTGAAGAACAACCAAAATCCTGTTGGACTTCCTACCATGCTCCATGTATTTTATGAGAGAATATATAGCCTAAGACTTAGCTAAAGTGTATGTGATAAAGAGAGTCCTGTAATTCCAACTATTAGCCAGATCTAATGGGCCATGTCACTTTCCATTCTTTTCCATTTTGCTTCAGGGAACAGTAATAAATAGCAGCACGTGAGAAAGAGAGTTTGAAGGGCTGGGATTCATCTAACAATCTTTGTGGCCTCAGAAAGTCCCTTCACCTCCTTAATGCCCAGATTCCCTCTTTAAAATGACGAGATGGGATTGGAGAACCTCCATAGTCTCTGCATTTTTACAGTCATGTGATTCTCTTTGAGAAATGGATTGTGAAGTCCCTGCTTTTCGTTTTCTGTAAATGTTCATTTTATAGGAGTCTCTCGCACTCCTTTAACATTTATACAAGTGGATGCCTGGAGTTCATTCCAGCTGCCCGAGCCCCACATTGAAGGGCTCGGGCTATGCAACTCCTGAGACTGAAGAATGCTTCCTGCTTGAATGGACTTCAAGCTCAGTGGGAGCCACTGGACACACTGTATAAGCTCTTGTTTGCAGGAAACAGGTTTGTTAGAGCCTACTTTTCCTAATGTTCCCTTAAAAGCATGAGTCTACTGAAACACCCCATATCTGTCTATAATAAGAACATATGATTTCATAGAAAATATTGAAATAAAATGAGAAATTTTAAACTGAATATAAAAGGTAAATAAACTCTTTAATGCTAAGCTTGGTTTTAATACTCTATCAAACATCTTGGACCTGTTTTAAAAGGTACCTGTTAGATCAGTTAAAGTTTAAATTAGACTTCTCTTTTTGGTGGGTCTATTTTAATTTATTTTCTCAGGCTTATAGTTTTGGTAATCAGTTAATAGGTTTAAATCTAATTGAATCTGACCTTTCTTTAGCAAATAGCAATTGTGATGCACTTTGAAAATGGCTTTTCCTATATTGTTTGACCCATAGCATGGTAAGTCAGCCAAATAAAATCTGTAAATTAAATTGGCTTTCTTGTATACAGCTAATCTACTAATTTATTGTGAAGCAAAAGGGTTAAAAAGCACTTTTTAAAAATCATATTAATGTTGATTTGACTTAGAAAAGTCATCCTATTATATTTATAGTCTGTGTTGTTGGTTACAAGGACATTCCCATTTGTCTATTGTTCTCTAATCAGATTTTCATTGTTAATATGCCACCAATATTCTTTATTGATCTTTGTCTTTAAGATTTTTTTTATATCTTAAGGTGTTTTTTCTTAACATTTTAAAGCAGTTGTACAGCAAATGTACATAATAAAGTGGGATGTTTTGAATTTGATATAAGCAAAATATATATCTCATATTTTGGTTATAAATTAAGTACTTGCTATGTTACCTATTAACACATTTTATAGGAGACTGGATAAACCCTTAGTTACTTAATTATTTTTTTAATGTTAACTTATTTACCTTTTGTTTTATGCCTTCATTATTTCTGAAGTGATTGTTAAATAATCTGACAACAAGCAAAGCAGTTTAAATGTAATGCTGTGCAACACTGCTCTCTGCTGGTAAGGAAGCAAAGCGGAACACAAACTTCCAAAGGTTCATTTGAGTAACATTTGAAAACAAAGGTGGAGTTCTCAAACATTTCCATACTTTTGAAAAGCGATTATTATGAATATAGCAGTATGAATGAATCAATGGAAATAAAAGGATAAGGAATGAGCTCACTGAGATTGTACCACTTTAAATCATTGATATAATTATGAGTATTTGATAAAATTAATCTAATATAACATATTTTAATATCATCTTTAATATACTAGCAAGATTAATGGACATTTTCATATTTTCAATTTCAATAGACTATAGACTGGAAAATGCTAGTTAGAGTATAAGCTTTCCTAGACTATATGTTTTCCATACATTGAACCAAGAAATGCATGCATTTCATTCTTTGTGTGGAATATAAAATTACAAATATCTGGAATTTAGAAACATAAAAAAAGAGAAGGTATGGTTTGTAAATCATGAGGAAAACATATACCACATTGCCACACTTTTCAATACAGACTAAGGATGCACCAAACATTTTTAGTTTAGGTCAGTAAGTTACAATAAATGGACCTTTATGTTGCAACCAGCATCAGCATCCTGCAACCAGTATCACTAACTCTGGTTCCTTTGTGGTGTTGATGACTTTATATTCTATTTCCTCTTGTCATCTTTTTCTGGGTAATCACCCAAGTTCTTTGTAACAGTGGTGTCTTCTGAGGAACATAGAAGCCTCAGGAATAGTTGACATAATCCTGGTGTCTTAATTAGAAAAACAGTGTGTTGTGTCTCACATAATTTAGTCTTGATCTCAGTACAAAGACACTTTACTTTCTTTCTTGAGAGCTCTTTAGAGGAAGAGAAACAGGGTTTTCAGCTCACCTTTTTGTCTGCCATCTACTTCCTATAACCTGCTCTATTCCAGATGCTTGTAGACCAGTGCAAAGTGTCACCCTCAGGAAAATAATTTCCTAGATTTATCCCTAGAGACTCTGATATATTTGATAAAGAAATTTCATATTTTATTTTTAATTTCCTATCACAGTAGTTCTCAAGACAGTAGCACAGAAAACATACTTTAAATTGTAAGGAGCTAAAGAGATGGCTTAGTGTTTCAAAGTACTACCTGTTCTCACAGAGGTTCCAAGTTCAATACCCAACAACCATGGGTAGTTCACACCCATCTGTAACTTTAGTTCCAGAAGGACACCCACTCTAGTAGAGGCATACATGGAGGCAACACACACATACACATAAAATTTAAGAAGAAAAATGAGGCTCTACATTAATTAAGTAGTTCATTTTTCAAAACTGAAGTAAATAAAATGAGATTTTGTGACCTTACTACTCTCTTCCATTCTGCACATTAACACATAGAATCATATGAAGATACCCTACTTAATCACTTCCTCTAAGATGAGCACACACTCTATCAGAAGTGATGACACTTTGGTAGTATGATCTGTGGTGTATGACAAGAACAAAACTGTCTTTGAGAAATTTTATATGCTTGAAGGGTTTAATGATTAATAATTATTCATATAAAGCGCTTCAAGAATATAAATTACAGACTTGATGGGTTATGTTTGGAGAAGTAATGTTCTACCACATAGGGACTGGTTGACAAGGTCATAATCATTACAATATTTACACTGGGGGATTGTTTCCAAGTTTTAACAAAACCAGCAACTTCAGGGTTATTTTTAAAAATAGTGAAATTATAGGTCATATGTACACATACACTACTGAAAGTGTAAATTGAATACTTTATAAAGTATGATTTTTGGATTCTACATGCCACAGGAGTTTAATAATTGGAAAACAGATTTGAAATTATAAATGTTAAACATGCTATTACAGTTTAATATAGTAACCAATATCAGTATGTATTTCCTATGAATTTAAACTTTCAATAATACTTGTCAATGTGAACATATTTTATCCTTGAGAAAGTCATTGATTATAACATGAAGCCATTATGTTAACAGGATAGTAACAATGACTTAACATACTCACTAACTTTTAACTGTTGAGATTAAGGGAGACAGTGAAATTATTTCAGTGTTCCTTCCAGTAGAATCTTCAAGTAAAATATGTTTTTGAAAAGTCTTTTGAAAACTAGGAACTGTAAATGGTCAAATGATGTATTTCCATATGTTATACACAAATTGGCTAACAATTGCTCTCCTTAATCAGGATTTGTGTTTGAATTTCTGCCTAGCTTTTCCTTATGCAGCATATAGCTCTAGGTCATTAGATGATGGGGCTTAGTGAAGCACATGTCTCACGAATGTTCATGTTCAGTTTCTTGGCAGTACCGAAGTGGAGCAGCCGAAGGGAACAGAAGTTGTGAGAGATGCTGTGAGGAAGCTGAAGGTAAGGAAAAGCCCTCAGAAAAAATGGCCAGTGCATTGGTCTCATATCATCAGCAGATGGATGGAAGCCAAAATATGGATAACTGTGGTAGGTATAGGGCCACTCTCATTAAATTAACATTAAATAGCTATCGCCTGTTCAAGGAGATATTTTCAATTACAAACACATTCATACAGTCATTTTGATGCACATACTACATATTTTTATAAAGTATAATTTCTTAAAAGCTTTTAAGGCTGAACTCCATAAGTGTTTATATTCAGTGTCAGCCTTTATATTTGTTGGATAATATGAACCCACGCTTTTACTCAAAACTAGGAGTAGCATCATAGAAACATTTTATAGTTAAATTATTATATCTAACATTTGAAAAGATGATTACAATTGATTCCAAAGTAGACTTTTATAGTGATGATATGCATTAAGGATATCCCAGTGGGCCATGTCTATGAGCAGGTTTAGGGGAGATTGTGTGATTAAAAGAGCAGAAGAAAATATTTATTAAAAGACCTAAATGTTCATGGGTAATACATTTCTCGAGAAAAATTTATGAAGCCTCATGATTTCATGTTCCGTAAGTTTCCTGATAAAATCTTGCCACTAGACACCACAAACACCTTTATGTAATAGTCCAGCTGTCCAAAGTCAGCCTCACTGAGATTTCAGTTGGAAAAACTCCTTCAAGAGGGCATGCAGTTCATGTTGTAAGAGGATCTATAGACCACTACTTTATTTAAAAAGTTAGCTGTTTTTTTCTGTGGTTGCTCTCACCAATTGATGGATGTGGGACAACTTTCTGTGACTTTGGTTCTAGATCATATGCTCATTCCACAGGACTATTAGGTCCTGTGGTTTGTTCTAGACAGAATCATGAACACTGGAAAATACCACTGTGTTTTGAGAAGGTCAGATGAAGTATTTACAAAGTTTAAATTGAGGGAAAAGGTCAGAATGAGATTTGTATTCGGAATAAAGAAATGAAGTAGGCTGTGCCCTCATGTATTCACTCTTGTGACTATTTGACACAAGTCCTGGAAATAAACATTCTGTGTAGCCTCGAGTTAATATCACTCATATTTGGGGAAAATATGCTCATTAACCATTTCTTTCCAGTATTCGTTAGGTGATGATTCAGGGTAGCCTTTGTCTGAGCAACCTCTTTAATCCCTAATAGAGGATTTTATTTAAACACCTTGTAGTTTGTGGAAACATTCAAAATACAACTGTATTTATTGCTTTAATAGTGATCTAAATCCTGGGTTGAGCATACTTTATTACAACCGGAATATATCTTAAAAGAACAACAACATTGGCAATATTTCTTTATACCTTGGGAATTCTTCATTCAGTATCTCAAATATGAAAATAAAATGGTCCAATTGTATTATGACTATGCCAAAGAGATATTTGGACTTAAATAGCTTCTAAAACTATGACTAGTTTATATGTATTTTGTGAGATTTTATATGTCATTTCTATATAGCTTCATACTTGGAAATGAACTCTTATTGGGTATAATGGAGAATATCAAGATAGTTAAAAATATAGTTAATGGATAGTAGCTTTTATTAAATGTGTGTCTTTCACAATTAATATGCACTTGATAAATAAATTATATTAGTTGAAAATTTTGTTTTTGTTTTTCAGAAAAATATATATGTATATGTATATATATGAGAATATTGTAATAGCCAACCTGAGTAAGACAGTCGTTTTAACTGTTTGTTGCAAATTGTTTCTTTTATGCTGTGTCAGAAGTCAAAAATCTACAATAAAATGTATTAATATTTACAAATAATTTTAATTTTGATATCATATAGATATGGCCATAGGGTGGCGCTGTGGTTCCATTAGAAATAGAAACTGCCAAATGTCCGTGGCCCCATTTAGATTTTGTGCTTATTTTCCCCAAACATGTGTTCTGACAATTTTAGTAAATATATTGTAGTGTTGTGCTTAGATTTTTTTCTCATGTAGTTAAAAATGTTATTTATATTTACTTCCTTTTCTAAGTGCATTTTAAATGTATTGGCTTCTGACATTAGGTAAGAATTAGAAATGTATGCATAATGCAGGTTGATGAAAATCTTAGAGAATTTTAAGTAATGGTATTTTCATACTCCCGTACTTCATGACGTCTGCTTGAGTTTTAACAAGATGCTCTTAGCGATTTGTTTATTTTGCTATTTTGTGACTATAGAGAATTCATTGTTTATAAATTTTAAAGTAATTTGTATGAAAAGGAAAGTACTTTCATACTCTGTTTATCAAAACAGCATGCCATTTTTCTATTTCTTAATCATACCTTAGCCTGATATTTAAAGAAGCAGTAAGTATCTAAGAGTGTGAAACTATAAAACTCGGCACTGTTATGAATTTCATTTTCAGAAAAGGTCTGTTACAACCCAATCAGTTCAACCACCAGAACTTAATATGTGTTCACAATTTGTTATGTTTTAATATGAATACACACTGGGACATAGAAATTAACTCAACTGCCTCCCCGAGACATAAGTAGAGATGGAATCTTTTGGCCCCTGTTTAAAGGGATTATGTCCTCATAAAAAAAGGCTCCACTCAAATGCATGAGGCTGCTTCAACATAATACAGCCTTGGAAGTCACTGCCAAAACATCGTCATCATCTTAGGTCTCCATCATTGGATTTCATTGTGTCACATAATTCTATTGTGCAAACTTGTACAACCACTATAGAAATCAATGTGGCAGTTCCTTAGATGTACCTCAAGATTCAGCTATGCCACTCTTTGTAAGGCATATGGTTCTTCTGCCTGCCGCCGCTGGTCTTGTCCCGCCGCCGCCCCAGCCCCAAATAACACACTGAGACTCTGTATTAGATATAATTCTTTTGGCCTGGTTACTTGTTTCTTATCGGCTAGCTCTGCCTTAATTATTAACCCATTTCTGCTGATCTATGTATTTCTCTTACCAGGGAGCCGGCCCGCATACTGCTTTCTCCCGACTCTCCATCTTGGCTCCCCTTACTACTTCCTCCTTGTCTCCTAGTCCCGCCTATCTTGCTTTCCTATTGGCCAACAGTGCTTTATTCATTAACCAGTATAAGAAACATATACAGAATGACATCTCCCATCAACTCTTGAACATATACACAAAGGATTCTTCATCACATTTAATCAACAATGTTCCTTGTAAATGTCGCTCAGCAGAAGAATTATAAGGAAAATGCAGTACATTTATACAATGAAATATTCTTCACCTGTTTTTATTTTTTAAATGACATAATGGAATTTGCTTGCAAATGAATAGAACTAGAAGAAAAATCATCCTAAGTGGGGTAACCCAGACCCAGAAAGACAGATACGGTATATATTTACTGATGAGTGGATATTAAGTATAAAATTAGTGATAACCAAGCTACAATCAATAGATCCATAGAGGTTAGGTAAAGTGGAAGTATCTGAAAGCTACAGAGACTTCCTTGGGAGGAGGAAGTAGACTTGATTTTATGATCAGACATGGGGAAAGTGGGGACAGGAGTGGGGGATCATGTTAGGATGAGATGGGGTGGAAAGGGAAGTTCAAGAAGAGAAGACTTGAATTGAAAAGCATTTTGGGTGATGGTATAGAAACCTACTACAGTGGAAATTTTCTGGAATATCTGAAAGTGATCCTAATATGAACTCCTAGTAATGGGGTATATAGAGTCTCAACTGGCCCTCTCGTAGTCAAAAAGTTTCAAGTGGACATAGTAAGTTGCATTCAATTGAATTGTTGGCTAAGGGAGTCCCATACAGCACAGGCTGTTGCTAAGACAGAGGATTTCTGTCTGCAAACTGACAACAGAACCCCATTGCCAAGGACAACACTTATACTCCTCAGTGAATTTGGAGATGTCATAATAGGGCCTAGATGGAGCCCTTATCCCTATGTTCTAGACTCTTTGGTCTGGGAATGTACTCTATAGGCTCCAGAAAGAGAAACATGGACACCAACCTAGCCACAAAACCTCTGAACTACAATCTGTCCAGCCTGAAAAATATACTAGGGCAATGGTGGCACAGAACTTATGGGAGTAGCCATCTAATGTCTAACCTGACTTAAGACCTACTTAATAAGAAGAAACCCATACCTGAGAATTCTTGGGTGACTACGAACCAGAGAAAAGATAGCCCAGAGATACTTAAGGTAAAAACAAACTCTATTCATCTAAGAAAAAGAAATCAATACAACAATTCCTAATGAATGATAATCTGCTACACGCATAGAACAGTGTTTTATCCAGCCATTATCAGAGATGCTTCCTCCAGTGGCAGAAAAGAACAGATCCCAAGCAAGACCCAGAGCCAGACTTTATGTAGAGGGAGCATCTAAATTGGAGGTCTCCATTAAACTCCTCCATTCAGATCACAAGAAATCCTGCGGAAGGGGAGATAGAATGGTTATGAGTCAGAGAGGATGGAGGACACCAGGGAGTAAGATCCTCTGAATCAATTAAGAAAAGCCCATATGAGCTCACTGACAATGGGGCAGCAATCACAAGGCCTGTATAGGTCTGCATCAGATCTTCTGCGTATACACTAGAACTATTAGCTTACATTTTTAATGGGACTCCTGACAGTGAGAACTAGTGGATTCTTGTGCCTGCTCTTGTGACTCTTTTCCTCATACGGAGTTGCTGTGTCCAACTTCAATATGATAGTTCTTACTTGATCATATTATCTTTTATTTTGTCATATCTGATTGTTATCTTTTAGAAACCTATTCTTCCCTACTAAGAAACAGAAAGGAAGTGTATCTGGAGCAGAGGTTAGGTGGGAAAGAACTGGGAGGAGTAGAGAGAGGGGGGCTATAATCAGGATGTATTGTATGAGAAAAGAATCCATCTTCAATAAAACACACACACACGCACACAAAGTAACATAGGGTTGCCAAATAATAGGGCCACAGTAATACATTAATTTTCTTGCCCACTACATTTATCCCATTAATAATGGAGTTATATTTCATTTTTAAGTATCATTTGAAAGACATGTGGAAGTTGTGTAATGACGGCATCAAAAGTTAATGCTCTTTAAATTTTCATTACAAACTCTAAATAGAGGTAAGTCATGTTTAGCTGACTTTATAATTTCAAATAGCATTTCATTTTTTCATTATTTCATGGGTACAAAGGCTGTGCTTTGATGCTGTAGTGTAATAGTATATAGAATGTTTATCTTTCACATTATTTGAACCTTTCTATTGGATCTGATTATTATGTTCAAGTTACAAGGAATATCTATCTGTGCAGATCTATAAAGTAAAGTGAATTGAGAGGGCTTTGTGAACAAGGTTTTTCAAGCATTTACATTAAAATAACAGACATGAAAAAGAATATAGCCAAGGATAAGAAAGCATCATGTCTTGCACTGTATTTCATCACTCCTGAATTTGAAGAGTTTTGGAACACAGTTAAGAAATCCACAAGTAAGAAAATCAAGGAGAATTAAGATGGGAACATGCAAAGTCTTGTGAGCAGTGAGCTTGACCTTTACAAAAAAAAGAAAAAAAAAGCAGAGATTATCAAATTATTTAAGATATTAAGATATAAAGCTGAGTGAGTCTAATTCTAGATATTCTAGATACAAGACTTATGTCATTATATCAAAAAACTAATGGGAGTCCTTGATATACATGAAACAGGAATGGAAGAATATATTTATTCTTTTAAATATAGAAAATATAATGTTAAAAGAAAAAGATCTGAGTGCCAGGGTGCAAGTGTAGCTTCCAGGCTGCTTGTTACCAGCCCATTTCACTGTTGGGGATGTTGAAGGACATTAGGAAATGGAGTTTGGCTTGGATGGGAACAGAGGACTCAATGCTTGTTTGCACTGTTAGCTTCGTCTTGACATGAGGCAGAAGAAGGATGCCAGAGGATCCATCAGCTGTTTAGTTCTTTTTCTACTCTGCTCATACTCCCTTTCTTGTGACTCCCCTTTTTCCAGCCCTCCTCCTCTGGTGTGTGTGAGTGTGTGCATGTGTGGGTGTGTGCATGTGTGTGTACGTGCATGTGTGTGTGTACCCATGTGTAACACTCTTTCCTTCATTTCTTCCATTCTTTTTATTCTTTCTAAACAAAATAGTTTTAAATTACTGAGTGTTTTATAGCAAGATTTTCATAAAATAGAAGGTTATATAATTCTTGTTGGAGGTCACAGGGATTACTGTTTCAAGATGGTGAAAAGGCCTTGGAAGCCACTGCATGGCCCTTCAAGCAGCACAGGGTGGCTTTTCTCAGGTGGCCTTCCGTAGGTAAAGAACACAGAACAGCTGGTACTGTTAATGCATCCTGCATGGAAACCTCACAATTGCTTAATTATGCTAAGGCAAAAGAATACCACGAGTGGAAAAGAAAGCTAATATACATTCTTTGAGAGAGATCTGCAATAACTTTTGGGTTTCATGGGAGCAAAACATGTTTCATAAAGACCTAAAAGTATTTGGCACATGTTGCATATCATGTGCACACTGTAAGACTTATAGAAAAAAGAAAAAAAAATAAGTAAGCAGCTTATGTTCAAAGGGATGCAGGAAAGAGCAGGCTGAAAAATTATGCCACCCAAAGTGGAGTATAACAAACAGCACCAGCTGGGATTCGAAGGCAGACACTTCAAGGCACTCCTGTAGGCATTAATTACGTTCTTCTCTGTGGTAGTGCAAAGACGTGAAATAAGGCTTTGAACACTCTGCCCCAGGAACAACTGGACCATGCATGCTCACATCTGTCCTAAATTAGAGTGAATTTCACAATGCAAATAAATAGGACACACAAGAGCCCTGGAGCCCTGCCCGACCTCCATCTGATCCATTTGAATCAAGTTCAGAGGCCTTTCCCTATGCTGAAAACGAGTTGTAGAAAATCCTGGGAGTGGGGTGAGCAATTCTACTACTTTAAAAGTCTCCTTCTTTTTCCTCTTAAAAAAAAAAAGTCATATGGAGGGAAGGAGCTAAGAAAGAAGTAGGGAATCAGAGGGGTTGCCAGCAGAAACCAGAACATCCAGTGTCCAGTGAACTAAGACAATAGGGAGTTGGGCAGAAACTGAGACACCCAGTGAACCATGGATTCAGGTAAGTAGCAACTAAACTAAAAAGGATTACAAAATACTGCCTAGGACATACTTACTCTAATAACACATATATGTTGTATATATGTGCATAGGTAAACCTTTGAATCTATACTAATATTAAAAGTTTGTAGACATATGTACTATTTAATACTCAAATTCAATTGAATCTTAAAATTTTTCTTCCACTAAATCTTCCACCTGAGAGCAGAACTGCTCTGATTTTCTTTAAGATTTTACAAAGACAGCTATGAAAGTAGGGAGAAACCACTGTGCCTCCAAGATGCTGTATATGTGACTCTAACCACCCTGACTCCACACAGGAGTCATTATGTGTAAAAGGACTGGAGCTCTTAGCTTTGGTTTAGATATATCAGTCAGTCTTGTCTTTGTTGGTTCGGCTGATAGGACAGTATACACAACTAAGTAGGTATCACTCCACAGCAGGTGAACAGCAAATTCTGAGACTGTATTAAAATAAAATTACCTTGAAATAAAGTAATGTCTACCTACCATCCCTCATTGCTTTCTTTGTTGGTTGGTACACATTCAGCCTTTTAAATATCATGTCAAAAATGTATGAAAATCAAAATTTTGTGTATTTGGGGAGGTTGTTGTTGTTTAATAATTACGATCAGCATGGTGGCTCATACCTGTAATCATATCACTTGAGAGGCTAGGGCAGTGGATTGTTATAAATTTGAGCGCAGCTTGGATCTACATATTGATTTCTTCGCTGGCATGGAGTGCAAAGGAAAAGCTTATCTCAAAAAGAAAAGCCAAGCAAGTGAACAAAAACCAAAGGAAAAAGACAAAGTAAGTCACTGCAAATGAATCTGAATTATAGTGTCAGACAGAGTCAGTCACTGAGCAAAACCATTTCTATGAGACGCTGTGTAATGGGTACTACCTGAATTTAGAAATGTCTGCTACAGATACAAATTCCAACTGTACGTTTATATTCATTTTCTATAAGAATGAAACCATAACATTGTGGATTTCTTTGTCATTTCTAGTTTGCAAGACACATCAAGAAATCTGAAGGCCAGAAGATTCCTAAAGTTGAGTTGCAAATATCAATATATGGAGTAAAGATCCTCGAACCCAAAAGCAAGGTAAGGCTTGTTTTTTTGAAAGTCATGTTGCCCTATTTTTCAACCTGTAACAATTACATTTTCATGGATATTTAAAACTTATTACCAACTTTAAATATTTGGTTCTTGGTGATTTATTTAAATGTGTATAGGAATTTGGGAAAGGGAAACTTAGAATCTTGAGTTGTCTACTCTGCAACCTATGCTCCACACTTAACAACTAATACAAAGTATATTCAGTACTCGTAGTACCTATATTTAGAGATTTCTATTCACTTCATGTGCAAGGTATATATGGTATAGTTTGCTGGGTATAAAAGAAGAAAGGTGTGTAGTGTGTTAAAATGTCCTTTCTTGTAAATGCAATTGATATGTGTAAGTTTTCTGGTGCTCCTATAACAAAATGCCAAAGACTGTATAACTTAAACAATAAAAATTTATTTCTCTTGTAGTTATGAGCCTTGAATCTCAATATCCATATGTCCACAAACTCACTTTTCTCCATAGCCTTCTCCCTTGGCACAATTGGTTGGCTACTGTATCTTCACTAGCACATACTTTTCAGAATTTTTGTATGTTTGGGTTTTATTTATTACTTTGTTTATGTTACTTTTAATAAGAACACCAGATTGACTTAAAGATCATGAAATGCCTTCATATTAACTGAATTACCTGTATAAATACCTTATCTCCAATTAAAAGCCTACCTTACGATAAAGTTTCATATTTGTATCAACATATATTAGTGATACACAAAAATGGGTTTCATTATAACATTGCCATACATGTATACAATGTATTTTGATTATAGTTTTTAAAATTGCCTTTTTTTGTGTTTTCTTCTTACTCCCAATAGTTCCATTGTCTGCCCCAACCAGTCCCTTGTCTGCTTCCATCTTCCTTTTTCACCCAATGAGTTTTATTAATATTGCCTATAGGAACATGGTGAGGATTATTCACTTTATTGTTTGCTATCCACCTGAAGAAAAGATCTCTCTCTTCATCATAGCCTCATCAAAGATTCTCTTGAAGTGGTGGGATTTGAGTTCCTCTTTTCACTGATTACAAGATTGTGTTAGGACTAAGCTCGTGCAGGTCTTGTGTAGATAATTACAGCTGCATTGAGTTCAGAATGCTACAGGCATGTCATACCCAGAAACCGGTATCTCACATCTCTCCATCCCATCATTTCATATTCTGTGAGTCTTTATGAGTCCTTCAGGGAGTAAAAGGGATGTGTAACTTACAGATGAGAACTCAGCAATTACTATTCCTCATCATTTCAGCTATCACAAATCCATGCAGCTACCACTGCACTGCAAAAAGAAGCTTTTGTGACCCAAATTGACAGCTCTAGTTTATGGACATGAATGTAGTTATTTAGGGGGCAATTTGGTGACACATTATGTCCATTTAGTAAAAAATAGCAGTAATTTCCTTAAGGACGTAGTACCTCTGTGGCTATGGGCATTGACCGTATCTATGATGCCAGACAGGAATTATCTCCTCTGGTGCAGACTTGAAATTCGATCAGAAAGTAGTTGCTTTTCCCTTTAATATAGACTTGCCACAATTGTACCAGTGGGATCATCTTTCCCTTCCAGTTGACAGCATAGCATGAAAGAATTGGGCTGTGTAAGACCGCATAGCAATTCTTCCTTGGCAACCTGCATCGCATCTCCTGGCACTGAGGTCAAACCAGTAGGAAGAAAGCTCCCAGCCAAAATTCAACTTTATTTCTCCATGTCTTGTGGCTGACACGGCATTTTCAGCCTTAGGGGTCTTGCCATGTATTTCTGATGGTCCACAAACAATGACAATGACCACTTTATTTGGGGTTCTCAGGGGAATCCTTGACCAACAACTCACAGGGGGGTAGCCTACCTCTGACACAGGGGTTTTCATTTAATGACTTATGTTTCCTGTTTCCCAGGAGAAGTTTTATTTAGCTATACAGGATCCTTCCATTTAAATTTTTTTTTTACAACTTTTAAACTATCATACCAATTATCAGTCTTCCTTTGGAATTTATTCATACATTGTTAGTCTTAGTTAATCACCCCAACCCCTTTGTTTCTTCCATCTCCCTACAAAACAACCTTTCACATTTAATTCTTGCCACCCCAATGATGATGTCATATGTCAGGCAGTATTAAGAATCATCCACCAACATGAAAAATGAGGCTTAAAGGCCAAACATAAATATGGTAGGGGGATTTTTCTAATTGGCTATGGCTAGATGTCTGCCTTATTTAGACAAAGTGTAGTGAGCTGGCTGCTGGTGATTGGTTAAAACCCAGCTATATGTAATTGGATGAAGCTGCACTTTTTGTTATATATAAAGTTAGGCTGTTCATGTCCTTGGCTTTGCAGTTTGTTTGGTAAGAAATGAAATAGGCAGGAAGCCTCAAATTAATAAGATCCTGCTTATTTCATTAAACCTTTCTCTTACAATTATAGTTTATCATGAGATCTTTGGGCAGAAGAAAGGATAGTTCTTGGAACAGTTACATTGAATTTATCTAACAGAATTGTAAACATAAGGTCTAAGGCTCCACATTGTCTAAAGAATCCTAACTTGTTTTTTTTTTTTTAAATAGGTACAACATATAAATACTTAAGACATTCCATGTTGGTCCCAGTAATATAAATGTGAGAGATCTGTCTCTGTGTGAGGCTGAGGAAGGATGTGTGAGGACCTGTGCCATCAGTAGTAGTTGAGGAAGCTGTGGCTGTGCAGCTCTTTATTTAACCTGGTATATGCTGCATGACTTTAATGTGCCCTTTACAGGAGAGTATTTCTGTAGGTGAACAGTGGTGAAAAGTTCTCTAATGGACCCCAACAAGTAGTTCAGATATTTTATGTTTTTCTTCTCTTTCTTGGCTTTTTGACCGCTTGGTGAAACCTTCAAAATTAAGCCCAGTAAGTAAGTTACAGTTGGTCTCAGCTGCTTCATTAGTTTTTCATTTTTTACCTTGGGATGCAGAGACATTTTTCCTTAACTTTTAAATAAGAGAATAGAACTCTTTTTTAAAGGGGGGAAAATTAAAAAACTAAAGAGGAAAAAAATAAAGAAAAGAGGGGCCTAATCGATGGTTATTGTCCACCAAAATAATACATTCTGAATAGCCTTTAAAATTAGTTTTAGTGTAGAACAGGCCTGTGATTTGTGAAAGACAGAGTAAAGGCAAGAGGGGAAAGAGGTTGGATGATGTTCACCTGATCTTGTTCTTATTGGATAACCCTGTTTTCAGAATTTTGCCAATGAATGAATGAATGTCTCTCATTGCCTACTTGTCATTCTGTCTCCTCAACTGTTATTATCAAAGTATATGCTTTTCACAAGTAAACACTATAAGCAAAATATCAGGGCAACAGGATTTGATAGAACATAATTAGAGAATTAGCTTTTGATCGTTCCTGACAGCTTTACTCAGATCAGTGAGTGATAACAATGTCAGTCCTCGTCCCAGACCTTCAGCTTCCTATGCTGAATAATCCTTCATACAAAGATTCCATAGTGTGCTCTCCTCAAAAGCAAGTTTTATAGCTGCTCATGGGGAAGAATATTTCCAGTTTTATCCTTCCCTGGTCTGAAAAATTATCTTGGAATTTAAAACAAACAAAAAAGAAAGAAAACAAAAAACAAAAACAAAAAAACCTCTGATACTATGTTTCAATTACAATTTTATTGCATATGGCAGTACAACAAATGACATTCACTTCTGTGCTTCATAGGAACCTGTAAGCCTTGACTGGGTGTGTGTGCTGTGTGAATGTACATGAAGGCTTGGTATGCATACAGAAAGACTTATTTGTGAGCGTACAGGAATACATGACTGAACATGTGCAGGAAGATGACTTGACTGTGTGCATGTGCAGGAATACTTGACTAAATGCATGTATAGAAAGTGTCATGTTTTCATTCCACTGAAAAAAATAAAAGCCACTTAAAGCAAGGAGTTAGTTATATGCTCTATTAAACACCAGGGTCGTCAGGACACTGTCAGAATGTTAATGTCTGGAGTCATCTTGTGCCTCTGAGAATCAGTTCTTATAAGAAGTCAGTCATGGTATTTTGAGAGAAAGGAGATGAGGGGAAAGGAGAGAAGTAATACATTTCACAGGAAACTCTGACACACAAATTTAGAAACTACTACATCAAGAGAAATAAATGAATCTAATCATAAAAATCACTTTATGTAAGTTGGAATTTATGGAAAAGATCAATTAAACCTGAGGCTCTTAAATTTTTTATAGATAGATCTAATGTAAGAGGTGGATTTTTACATACACTATTAATCAAGAATGGCCTTTCTTTACAGAAACTGTTTCTCTCCCAGTTGGGTGTGTAAAGTTGAAATAAATGCAACCTCTGTAGTAGTTAGTGCTTTTCTCATTCCCACTCCCTTAGTTGCTCTGTAAAATTAAATGTGTGGTTATGGAAACAGGGGCTACAGAGAGAGACACATTGATCTTTTTATTTCTGCTATAATGAAAGGTATTGATTATAAATATGTGTTTCCTTGCTGTGTGTTTTGTTTCCAGTGTTCCCATATCTCTTTATCACATCTCACAGTTAGTCCTAGGTTTAATATACGTGAATTTTATCACAAGGTAGACTGTCTGACTTTATACAGAAAAAGTTATGCTTAAATACAATCCCCAGTACCTAATACAAAAATCAAAGCAAAAAATAAAAAAGATATCGCAAGAGAATGAAGTTATAGTCCTCAGCTCTATTCTCTTTTTGTAAGAAGATGACTTTGCTAACTGCCTTAATTCATTTTATGCTTTCTGCGGTAAAATACTATAACAAAAGTCTGTAAGAAAGATTCCTGTTACAGTCCATAATGCAAGAAAAGGCAAGGCCTAAAAAGTCAAGACAACATTTGTTGAGGCATCCAATGACATTATATCCTCAGACAGAAGACAATGATGAAGGCATGTTAACTCTTAGCTTCCTTCTCTACTTTATGCATTCTAGAATATCCTGCCCAGGGAGTGGTCCCACTCACAACTAAAGTGGGTCTTTACACGTCAATGCATCAGTTAGTATAATCAACATAATCACCTACTGATATGCCCAAAGGCCTGTTTCCTAGTGTGATTCTGGGCCTATCTCAAGGTGACAGTTCATATGAACCATCACACCAATATAAACAAATAGTAGGATAACAAGGAACTGATTGCAAACAAATGCTGTTGACCATACTCATTGTTCGGTGGAGGAAAGATAGCACATTCCATCACTAGTTATAGAAATGATGTGCTTATTGTATAAATAAGTAGAAATAATAAATCATTTTTGAACTGTATAACAGTAATTCTACAGTTGCATTTTCATTTTTCTGAACTATTTAACTATGACAACGAAATGTATCATAAGCATGATTATATAGTTATTAATGATATATACTAGCTATCATTATTCAGAAACTACAGTATGACACAGAGATGTTATTTGATTGACTATATTAAAACAAAAATATGTGTAAATGTGAAGCAATTGATTGCACTACCAGGAAAAATATAGGAAAGAATCTAAGATATACGCTGTCATTGTTTATCAAACTTTAAGAGCAAAAGAGAAGATGCCCTTATTAATAGCCTATTAACAAAATGATGAAGAATATGAATATAGAAGGAAGACTTTTAGAGAAGAGAAAGGATTAGGTCGCAATGAACTAGATATGATTAAAATATGTTCCATGTGTGTATGGAATGTCACAATGAAACCAATTATTCTTTACAGTTAACATGCACTAGTTGGGAAAGCCTACATACTACTCTTTCTAGCACTACCCTTCTCTTCTGTGGACACATATAGGTCAGGAATGTTTATACAGTATCTTTCCGATTTCATAGTTAAGCTCATCCAGCAAATGCTTGATTGAGCTGATACCCAGGGGATAATGTATATGCTATATATAAATTCTCTTAGCATTTATTATATAAGACAGCTACATTCCCATTTTCCATCTGTTAAACAAAGTAGAAATAAGACTGGTAGATTAATTCAAATCAAGCATGCATGCAAAATGCAAAAAGATTTGATTCTATTGTATCCTTAATGATGTTGATGACAATTTTTGAGTTTCTGATTCAACTACAATAAATACAAGAAAATGTTCATAGCACACACTCTCATGTTTAAAATTGGAAATTTCAGCCTTGGATAAAACTATAATAGCTCAATCATTAAACTTTTACAACACTCACCAAATATTGGGATGACCAAAGTCTGACTGACATTGTGTGTTATAATGCACTTTGAAATAAAGGATGCATATAGAGTAGGCAACAGAATGATTGATATATTTTATTTTCATCAGTTCTAATTAAGTAAAGTATAAGATTTTTCTAACCTGAATATGTTTCAGAAAACTATGGCGATAAATAGATAATATTGACGATGATCCTGAGTTTTATAATTCATCATAATTCAGGGTGTGTGTGTGTGTGTGTGTGTATGCATGCATGCATACATGTGTGCATGTGTACCCATGCTGCTACTCTGTCTAGTTGATTAGTTGTCTTTCCGCCTATTAGAAGCCCTAATTCTTTCATCTGCAGGCTGTCGTGTTAACAGCCCTAAGCTACCAAAGTTGCAAGGATGACCTACTTGGACAGAAAATGCCCAGGAGTAAGTGAATACCCATTGAGACCTGATATTTAATGAAAGAACTATGGATGAGTTGTTATGGGGGCTTGTGGGAACTTGTACAGAGGTGGTTCTGTTCTAGACTACAGTGCCAATTATTTTCAATTGCACCAAATGCAAAGAATTTGGCAGACTTTGTTCTTTTTCTATAAACCTTAGAAAATGTTTTAACATTTTGGGGCTCAGTATCCTCTTATGTAAATGTTCAAGCTTGAAAGAACATAGTTTTTAAAGATCCCCGTGAACCACTGACCCTCCTTTTTCCAGCATGTACTGGTGTGTGCACTATTATGTGAATGTCTTGTTTAGACCTTGAGTCAGGAGTTCCATCTCCATTATGTGTGTATTTATTTAAATTTGAGGCATTTGCAACTGCAAGAGTAAGACTTGACAGGTGATTGCTGCACTTTCAAAATGTAAGATGTATTATTAACACAGCTGACATTTCAGAATGTGGAAGAAAATAGAATCAACTACATTTATTTCCATTCATGTTCACAGGAAGTTCAACACAACTGCCAGCTTCATAGAATATCATTTTGCGCAGATGATAAAACTGACAAGAGGATATTCACTTTCATATGCAAAGATTCCGAGTCAAATAAACATTTGTGTTATGTATTTGACAGCGAAAAGTGTGTAAGTATGCCACATGTTTTAGGGTTTGTTCTCTTTTACAAGCCAGGGATTGTCTTGTTTCCGGCATTAACCAAGTATTTGGAAATGAATAAGGCATGCGAACACTTAACTGCACTAATAGATTCATCCTGTCGTGAGAACAGGCTTCAGGATTTCATCCTAACTAACTGCTTATGTTCATTAGCAAAAGTATGCATGCAAATTTCTTTTATTAGAGCATCATGGATGCTTTTTGTATTAATCTCAACATAATTTAGTTTATTCTGAAGTTTTTCAATTTTTTTAGCTTTCTATAAATTTTATTTGAATTAGTAACAATCCCATTTTAGATATCAATCCCAGGTCCCTCTCCCTTCTAACCTCCCATGGCCCTCACTGTTCTCCTTCTCATCCCCCATCCATTCCCCAGGGAGGGTGAGGCCTTCATGAGGGATCACTGTCATGTCAATTTGGGGCAGGGCCTAGGCCCTCTCCCATGCATCTAGGCTAAGAGAGTATCTCTCCATGGAATGGGCTCCCAAATGTACAATTTGTACATTGTGGATACATCCTGGTTCCACTGCTAGAGGCTCCATAGACTGTCCAGGCCTCTCAGCTGACACATTCATGGATCCTGGTTCAGTCCTATGTTGTTTCTAGTTATTGACTAGTGTCTTCATGTTGCAAAGAGGAACAATGAGTTTTTCCTGGAATATGATGTATTTAGGGAAAGCAAATATTTTAAGCTGAGGAATACATGCTCTATAGCTCCTTAAAATGTTTCCAATTCTTTGAAAGTTGGGTTTTGATGTATATTATTCATAACACTTAACTTAAGTAGTGGTGTTGAGCCCCCTTCCCTCTCTCTCTCTCTCTTTCTCTCTCTCTCTCTCTCTCTCTCTGTGTGTGTGTGTGTGTGTGTGTGTGTGCGTGCGTGTGTGTGTGTACTATGAATGGTCTCTGAAGTTCTTAGCATGTAAGGATGTTTAGGAAATTCTGAGTCATGCAACAATCCTTAATCATCCAACATCTTAAGGAAAACCGTGTGTCTTGCTTACAAATGTAAGCTAATGTTCATAGCCAAGTCTGAGTTCTGTTATAAAACCTAAGATGTGATTTCTGAGCACATATTGTAGCCATTGATGGCGTCAATGGAAAACAATCCAACCTCAACACTGTTGGATTAAAATGGAAGTAGAACTAAACTCATTTAGATTCTATTTTTTCCTTGTTCTCAAAAATAGAAAATTACTAATATCATGATTAGGTGGTTTATTTCTCTGGGTTTTTTTCCATATGGATTTTCTGAGAATAAATTCCTAAATACCTATTTGAGAATTCATACCTATTTCTTACATCAAGTGGATAACAGATACCTAGTAAGTTTCTTTTTTTTCTTTCTTGCTGGAAAATACATTGTTGAAATTTACCCAAATTAGCTAAGTTATTTCCTACATCTTTTAAATTTTATAGCTCTTAAAAAGCAAGTTCATATGGTGGCTATATGGCACCATAAGATCTACTTGGAATTTTGTAAACATTATGGAACATCTCCTCTAAAAAATATGCTTATCATTGCAAGTCAACATTCAACAGACAAGAAGGAACTTTATATGGAACGCACATTATTTTTATCCCATTTCACAAATGTACCATAGTTGCATATTTCTATGCTTTCTCATGTTGTTTGCAGATGATTTTGTTTGTGTAATTGAGATTAAAGCTGTTATTCCTAAAATAATTTCTCTTTTAAGATATAATACTTTTTTTTTTTTTTGCACCAAAGCAATGAACTCAGTTTTCTTTCACCCATGCCATGAACATGTAAATGTACTTTCTTGGAATCCTCTGAATAGTTCATAATTCAAATTCATAATAAGTATCACCATTCTACTTTATAATCTTCCCTTGATACCCATCTAAAGCTATCACATCATAAAGCAAAAGTATGTTTCTTTAAAAAAAAAAAAAAAAGGATATACCTTCTTTTTTAAACTTAAGGACAATTTTATTTTAGTTTAATTGTTGAACTTATATGGAAGGCAAGTTATAAATCTCAACAGTTGTCTGGAGAAAGAGAATCAAAGATGAAGAGATAACCTCCCACCCCACCCCACCCCCATTTGAATTACTTGCCACATGGAGGAAGAGGATAGCAGAGAAAGAATAAGGGAACCCAACATATTGAAGAATGGTTGCTTTAAAAGATAAAAAGAAACTGGAAAATATTAATGCTTTGGGGGGGTAACTAAGAAAAGGAGCTGACTTACAAAGCTGCGTGTTGTGGTCCAGTAAGCTATCGCACAGGGGTCTAAAATTCTGGGAAAGGAAGATGTGGTATCTCAGTGAGCCCACCTTTCTAGGAGCAGGCCTGCTTTCCTGAGCTCACAGAGAAACTGTTTCCTCAGTTGCACTGTATTTTTTTACTACATGCTTAAGCATAACTCTAATGCTTACATGAACATGCATGTAAGCTTGACTTTATGTATTTGCACAAATTGTGATTTACCACCCTTTCGAATTAACAATAATTGATAATATTAATTATTGTAATTAATTAGTCATGGAATATTGAAATGGAAGAATGAATTTTACCCTTATTGATAGAACAAGTTCTCAAGAAAAAGAAAAAAGGAAGAAAGAAAAATCAAGACTGCAGGGATTGTTTCCCAGTGTGATATTTAGCAACACAGTGATGGAGAAATCTAAGTCTAGGAAGTAGCATCCTTGCTGAATTTTAAAATAGAGACTTAGAAAAACCAACCATCTCAAAATAAAAACCCAGAAAGTATGAACACAATTTTAATAATTCAATTTTTATTAAAGAATAAAAATAGCTAATCCAGCTGGGTGGTTAAGGCACACATCTGTAATCCCAGCACTCAGGATGCAGAGGCAGATGGATCTCTGAGTTTAAGGCCAGCCTGGTTTACACAATGAGCTCCAAAATAGCCAGGACTACACAGAAAAACCTTGCCAAAATAAGAAAGGAAGGAAGGAAGGAAGGAAAGAAAGAAAGAAAGAAAGAAAGAAAGAAGGAAGGTGGGCAGAGAGAAGAGAGAGGAAGAGAGAGAGTGAGTGAGAGAGGGAAGGAGGGAGGTAACCAATTCAAAAATATGGAATATAAAAGATTCAGACCTTGAAGTTTGACAAATGAAAGACACATAAAAAATTTACCATTGCTCCATTGCTTTTAAAAATGTATAAAATTAACTTTGTACAATATTTATAGGCTGGAAACTATAAATAATTTATGAAGGAAATGACAGACTGTATATTTAACTAGACAGGCACACCGTGTTCACAGATTAGAACGTTCGGTGCTCTGTGTTTGCATGTTTCTATGTAAAGTTTGTTATGGGTTTTATTGAATTCTTTGACTCACAGTAAGAGCTTTTGTAGCTATAGACAAAATTATTAGAAATTTTCATTAATGCAAAATAACTGGGATTGTTCAAACAATTGTGAAAAATAGCATAACAAGCAAGGCTTTAATCTACCTTATACAGAGGTTTCTTTACAGTTTTGTGAGAGACATCCAAGGCCATAGAGCAGAATATAGAACACAGAAAGAAAACACACAAATACATGCTTCCCTGATTTTTACTAATGGTTCAAAAGTACAATAATAAAGACACGTTTTGTTTATTTTTATTGCTAAGACAAGGTTTCACTCTTTGGCCGGTTAGCCTGGAACTCAGCAGTTATTCCAAGTTGGTCTTGAATGTATTCTTCCTGCCCCTGTCTGCAGTGTATTGCTCCTGCAAAATAACATTTTGACACAAACTGTGGGTCCATATGGTCAGCTCGTGCCAATAAAATGCACTTTGACCTAAACTTCAAACCTTATATACACATTTATTGAAAACCCACTATGAAATAAGTTATAAAATATACAACTGTAAAACATTTAGGGGAAAACAAAAGCAGGAAAGTCGAGTTATGTAAAGAGTTTTTTAGATTTTGCAATCAAATCATGATCTATAAATGGATGAAAAGAAAACTTGTATTTTATTAAAAGTATCCCCCTCCAAAAAAAACAAAAAAAAAAAAAAAACCTCTTTCTTTCAGGCTTGGAAATATTTAAAAGCAGTCAAACTAGAAGTCAACAAGAAAAGCAGTATTTGAAAGAAAGACAAGTTTTAGACATTGAAAAAACAATAGTTCATGGAAAAACTATGATTCTTTATGCAAGTAACAGAAACCTCACAATATTCAATGAAGTACTTTGAGAAATGCAAGGAGAAACAGGCAACTCCACAAGTGCAGAGAAAGCATTCTGACAGGTAAAAGTGCTGTCTTACTGGGCACTTCTTACATGAGTGCACTGGACCATGAGATTCTCAGGTATTCTCCACAGCAATCAAGAATGAGTAATAAATTTGATGGTCCATATACATTTACCATAATGTTTTTTACCTGGTAAGCAAAATAAACATTTTTAACTATCCATAGGACATTCATTAAGTATTTAGTATTAAACACCCACCCCAATACAAAGACAATAATGACAATAACAATAGTGATCACCACCACTGTTCCAGGAATGTAGCTGGTAAGTGCGGTTGATTAATGAATGCTATTGTGGATGTGGCCCATACAGATGATTTAGCAGCATGCACTGTTTACATCATTTGACATAGAAATTATCTTTCTGATAAAGTATCTTAAATGAATGCTATCAAATATAAGAGAAGAACCATAAGAAAATGCTAGAAATGTAAATGCTAAAAGGGCTGGCAATAGTAAAATATGCTAAAACCATTCAAGAGAATGTCACTCAATGACATTTGTGAAGTTTACAGAGCATGCTTCAAAGGTAAGAAAAGTGCAGCATTAAACTGGTACGTTGAATGATTATAAACTACCTTTTATGATTTAAAACAAAAGAAGGAAAGGGGAAAAAAGAAAGAAAACTTACACTTTCTACCTCCCAGTTTAGATAGGCTTTCGCTTTGCACCCATTTTGTAACATTCTATTCTATCATAAACTATCTGAGAATATATTTCTACTGAAGTCACATGATCTTTGTACAACATCAACCCAGACTTAAGTCTTGATATCATTTAAAGATAAAAACTAGACTAAGTCTTTCAGACCTCTTTTCAAAGACTATTTACATAAATGTTTCAATTTTAAGAATTTTAATGGTATTTCAATAGTTAATAAGGAATTATCTTCCCCATAAATATTGCTTAAATTTAGCTTTGTAAAATAACTTCCACAATTAAATAAGTAAATGTCAAATTCACATAGTTTTAAATTAAAACAATAGAAGTTACAAGTTCAGGTCTTCAGTTTGTTTGGAATTCGCTATAGTGTGCTCATCGCTCTGCCACTTCTTTGTGTTGCTGTAGAAAACAAATATGACTCCACCTTCAAAATCCCAAAGCCAAATGTTCTTGGATATTTAACTTGCTTAAATGAAGTCACACCATGTTGTGTAACTGCCAGATGCTTGGAAGAAAAAAAAGCCACCATAGCAATGAAGTGAGAGCAGCTGATGAGTCTAGGCCCATCCATTGTTTTCTGTTAGATAATGTGAAGGTTGCTATTGTGCTAAAGACTCTTATGGAGATGAGGAAGCAAACTAAGCCTGGAAACAGGTGTTCGAAAACCTCAGAGGAGACAGGACGAGTTTTAAGAACCTTAAGTGTTCTACAGTATAAAGTCAATCACGTTAGAGAATTTCATAGAAGAGGAGGATAATAGATGACAAATTTGCACAAGAATGACACTACATGGTAGTAGTTATTAGGAAAATTCAGCTTATAAATTAAACTGAGACATCACCCCCCACAGCTACCTAAAAGGTTACAACTAAACCTCCAAATGCTGATGAGAATGTGGGAACTGCATGACTCATGCATAGCTTCTGGGAACACTAAATGTTAAAGCCACTCAGGGTAAACAGTTTGTGAGTCTTTTAAGAAACTTAACATGCAACTCTTGTATGAACAATTTGGAAATTCACAACACAGGAATCAAAGCTTAAAATATTCACAGAAAAATAACCTGACAATATTTACAAATGTGCATACATATTTATTTGGATGAGTTTAGCTTATTGCTAATAGCCCCAATCTACAATCCTAAAAACCCTAAAAAAAAATAGGTGAATAAACACCCTTTCATACATTCCAACCCCAGAACACTACTTACCAAGGACTGAGCTGTCAATGCATACAGCAGTCCAATGGCTCTCCAGATAAGAGAAAAGACCAGTAGCAGGGCATGGTGTTCCACAATCTGTAGTAGTCCAAAACAGACAAAATCATAGAAACCTAACCAGGTGATGTTTGCAGATGGTGTGAGAAGGTGAGAATAGGTTGGAAAAGGAATACAACAAGGTGAAGGATTGTTGTCATGAAATTTTCTGTGCTTTGGCCGTATTATCCATATCCCAGCTGTGATTTGGTTTGTAGCTTTGAGACTTGGTACTATTGGAAAGAGCAGGAAACAATGTTAAGAAGACCTCTCTATGCAAATTCTTGCAACTGAAGGTAAATCTAAAACATGTAAGCAGTCTTTTGCTGTCCTGCCAACCAGCTCCCAAATAATAACAAGGAAACTTATTAATTTTGAAAGCTCAGCCTATGCTTAGGCTTGTCCCACTAGCTCTTATAACTTAAATTAATCTGCTTCTATTAATCTGCATTTTACCATGTGGCTTTTGACCTTTATTTCATCTGTATATGTAACTTTCTCCCTGTCTCCTTGGTGTCTCATTGGCATAATTCATTTAATATGCCTAGATTCCTCCTCCTCTTCCTCTCTCCCCTTGGAAAGCCACCTATCCTCCCTGCCTAGCTATTGGCGGTTCAGATTTTTATTATACCATTCACAGCAGTACATCTTCACAATGTACAAATATCCCACAACAAAAACAAACACAAAAAAAGTGAAGGCCTATTTGAAGCCAGACATTCCCCTTACTTTAAGTGAATACAAGCCTAGATATCTACTGATGGCAGCAGAGCTTCAAAGCAGGTACAGAATGTATACAGTTGTGCATACCTTTAGTTCCAGCACGTAGGAGGAAGAAGCAGGCAGATCTCTGTGAGTTCAAGTCCAGCCTTGTCCACAGGGTGAATTACAGGCCAGCCAGGGCTATACAATGTGACTCTGCTTCAAATAACCACACATTTTCTGTTTGTTTCTAATTTAGATGAAGACCCCTTGTGCTGTACAATGGACTGCAGGTCCCTTTCCTGGTCTAAGTGATCCATGTTACTAAAATTTAACATTAATACAACTTCCACTAATTCTCTGTAGTAAATTGGGTTATTGTCAAGACACACTTGCATCAATAATATAGAAGGAATCCAGTGCACCTAATATGTAGAAACATTTATAAGTTCTTATAGTCATATGTCATACTTTAATATTTGAAACAGCCTACATTTTATTCTTATTTTGTATAGCAAAGCCCTCCTTTAATGAAATGACAGTGTCAATTAAATATCTAAGTTTTAAGAAAAATGTTTTGTCTTAGGTAGTTCATAATACTTAAAATCTATTACAAATTCAGTTTGTTAAAGTGGGATTTTTTCAATATTTAATTTTACCACTATTTTCCTATCACTAAAAATAGGAATTCCTCTTATTATGACCATTTGCCTGTGCACTTAATCAATTAATGCCTTATTAAGACTCTTCGGGTTAATTAAGTGAATGCATATTCATGAATGCTTTATGCAAATGAACTTGTGGAGGTTCAGATGAAGAAGGAACAGGGGCAGTGGACTTGGGGGTCTATAGTTGCTTCTTCTTGGTGGAATGTATGCTGAGTTCAATTTAGATGACAGTTACACTTTGTTCAATTATCATCATCTTACAAAAGTGGGAACTGTTCACACCACTGAAAATTAGAAGTCCTCATGTAGCATTTCATATTTGTTCTCTAATCTCCTATATTTAAGATGTGACGCTGTTTGAAACTACTTAGTTCTGTGAGAAACAATGAACCACCTGGACCTAGCTGTACTGTCTAGAGAGGTCTTCCCTGGAATTTTCCGTGGACCCTCCACCACCCCACCCCCACCCCCATGTGCCTTTATTCAAGTTACCCGCCCAGAGTTTAAAACCCCTTCTCCTTAGGAAAGAAACAGTAACAAAACAGCAGGAGAAACCACTCAATTCGATGATTGCATTTAATTGGTACTAAGTATTTAAGAAAGGGCCCCAAACAGCTCTGCATAAAGCTCTTCAATTAAACAGAATCCAGGCTGTCAGGAGCCTACATCACTCTCTAACTTGAAGAGCTGCTCACTGGTGGCCTTCTTTTCTACACTTGACTTTACTCTGGAGGCTGAGGGGACATCAGGTACTTATGCCAGTGCAGAGCATTTCCTAGTAATGTTTCCAAAGACTTCTGGGTTGTTTGTTTTTTTGGGGGGTGGTGGGGGTAAAAACAGATTGATATATTGTTACTAATATGCAGATCTTCATTGTATGATTTTTATAAAGGCTGAAGAAATAACATTAACAATTGGCCAAGCATTTGACCTGGCATACAGGAAATTTCTAGAATCTGGAGGTAAAGATGTGGAAACAAGAAAACAGATTGCCGGAATGCAGAAAAGAGTGAGTAACCTAAGCATCTGACCTCACATTTGTCTGATATGCATACAGGGAAGTTCACCTATGGTCGAGCAAACTGAGAAGGCCTGCCATTAATTGTCCCTCACACAGCGGGTGCTGCTATCACCATATTCCTATAATTCTTCATCCTGGGGCCTCTGCATGGTCTTTAACTGTTTTATATTGAATTCCCACAAGAACTTAGTGTTCTCATGTGACTTTGCTTCACTTCCTGATGCTTCTCATGGGGATCAGAGCAGCAGAGGCAGCAGATGCTGGGTAAGTGGATTCCCATGCAGATCAGATTGCTTTGTAATTCAATTACGCCCCTTCTCCACCCTACAGTCTTCACAAGCCGTGGTTTTGATTTGTGGTTATAACTCCAAGATCATGGGTATAAATTGTACAGCTCAACAAGAAAACCAAGAAATGAGCACTAGGAACGTAACATTTATAACACACATTATATGTTTTAAAATTTAATGTCTTTCCAGTGGCCTATGACATTCTGATATTTCCCTAGCTTTGTCAACTAATTTTCTTTGTATACAAGAGAACTTTTGAATTTTAATAGAGTAAAATGTTATTTGCTAAATGTAGCTGAGATAAGAGCCAATATTTTCCAAGAAAAAAAAATCCTGAAAATTTTTCAATAATCTTTTGATTTTTTTTTTTAGATCCAAGATTTAGAAACAGAAAATATGGAACTTAAAAATAAGGTACAAGATTTAGAAAACCGGTTGAGAATAACTCAAGTGTCATCCTCTCCAGTAAGTACATTAAGTAGTGGGTGAGTCTATAATGTCAAACACCTCCTTAGCACGAATCCCACACCAATTCAAATCATATTTTGTGTTTCAATACCCAAACTACGTCTGGATAGAGATGAAGACTGCTCAGCAGAGTGCTTTTTCATGTTTAAATTCTGTAGGTAGCTCAGAGCATGATGCTTTTTCTGGTTACTTTTTTTTGTTCCACCCATGTTTTCTAAAATACTTTAAACCTGTCTTTGATCTTAAGGTTTAATATACTTTCTCCCTTTGTGGCAAATCCTGCCCTTCTTTCCTGTTGGTTATTGTTGACTAGGGTTAGACACAATGGCCATGCAGTCTAGCCCTGCAGGAATGACCTTCACTTTAGGAAACAGACTGAGAACAAGACCATGTACTGGATGCCGTTGCTTCAGACACATGGGCTGATTCTGTTCAGACATCGTGCAAACATTTGTCATGAAATTATTTGTGTCTGACCTGATCTGTTTTGAAATCCTTTCCTTGATATCAAGGGTGATGCCATTATTAAGTGAGTCTAGCAAAGGGGATTATTTTTGAGAGAGGTGTAATTTAAAGCTATATTTTCTTCTAGCAAAGATGTATTTAATACTGAACACTGTCCCTGTTTAATACTCTGTGCCACTAATAATCTTCATAATACATTTTATTTTCACTATTTAACTTACAGCATGATTGTGTGGCCCCGAACACAATTGTGAGACAACTAAACTGTTGGAAGAATTTTGACAATTTTCATATATAGTATTTACATATAATTAGAAACATTTAATTTTATAGACTTAATATCATAAAGGATCACCAGTCGTCATCATGATGAAGGGTGCTTCTATGAGAACTGGGCTTAGGGCTTCAAACTAGCATGACCTGGGATTTGACCTTTTTTTTTTTCTTTTTACTTTAAACTCATGTTTGTTCATCCTCTGTACTGGAAGAGTTGGTATGTCCATTGCTGATAGCACTAGGACAGTCAGCTGCTATAACTGAGCAGAAACAGGGTGGCAGTCTCCTGAGTGCAGACAATATGCTTCGTGGACTTTTGATCCTAGCATTCTTATAATAATCCTTCTTACTTTTTCCCTTCGTTTTATGCTCCATTCAAGGGCTTTGGGTTGTTTTGCGTTGGCTTGTTTCCCTTTTCGCAAGATACAGGACAACAGCTCTGTCTTCTGCTTTGGATCCAAAAATGCAAAATGCAACACACACCCTTTTGAGCCATGTTAAAATGCTTGTTGTAAGTCTTGCTGTGAAACACAGGGAGGCTGCTTTTCCAGTAAGTCTTAAGTAGTTGTTTCTAGATTTCATCACGTGTGCTTTGGTTTAGTCTTTGGGTGGTCAAAAAATAAAATAGTGTGTCATAACTTTGGGTGCATACCCAAAGAATATTTGCATATGTCCTTTCTTTGAGGACAGAAATCTGAGGCCTTTTCATTGAAGGTGAAGGTTTGGGAGGATCAAATGGATTTGGGACACATTCACAAACAGTTCCCACCCAGCAGATCTTGTAAACCTGTCTCAAGGCAGACACTGCCATACACTAACACTGGGTACCTGTGAAAAGGTGGCGTCAGTGCAGCTGACCTGAAGCAGGAGGAGCTAATGTCTCCCCAGACTGATAGCTGGGAATCCAGCATGGGACAGACTCAGACCCCTAGTCTCAGTTAGAAAGCCTGAGCAGTCCCAGGGAACTCTGACAGTAGAGCCAGGATGTTTCCTGGTGCAGAAAAGGACTTTGGCAGCACATTCTCCATGGAGGGATACTTCCTTAACCTAGAGGCAGGAGGGAGGACCTAGTCCCTACTCTGAATGACTTGACAGATTTAGATGACCCCTCAAGAAAAGCATCATCCTACATGTGGAGGGGGTGGGTGGGATGGGAGGGTGGTTGGGGGAACTGGGAGGGTAGAAGAGAGGGAGGGAGGGACAGAGAAGGAACTGGGATTGATATGTAAAATAAGAAAAATAATAAATTTTTTAAAAAAAGATGGAGTCACCGGTGAGGCTATAGATGAGCTTTGGAGCTTTGAATACAGTAAGATTTTGGTTAAAGAATGCAAAGTTTCATTTAGGCAGGAGGAATAGACTTAAGGATTTTACTGCAGTTCTGACACCTCCTAGAACAGTGGTTCTCAACCTTTCTCACGCTGCGACCCTTTAATACAGTTCCTCATGTTGTGGTGACCCCAAACCATAATATTATTTTTGTTCCTACTTCATAACTGTGATTTTGCTACTGTCACGAATTGTAATATAAATATATGATATGTGATATACCTGATATGTGACACCTGTTAAAGGGTCATTCAACTACCAAAAAGGTCATGGCTTTTTGGTAGTTGAATGTGAGAACCACTTTTCCCGAGTGTGTAATGGTTATTCTCACAATAAGCAAATGATGGGTGTACAAAAAAGAACATAGAAGCCTTTTGGTTATTAAATGAGTGTCAATTTAAAAGTATTCCAGACTTCTAAAGTTTAGATAAAGTTAAGTAATACTACTAAAATTATGAATTAGGACACATCTGAGCCAATAGTTTTGAAAATGTTGTTAATAGGTTTTTGTTGACCTACTTTTATTTTTTATTTTTCAATATATTTTTATTTTGAATAGAATGGCATCAATTTCCCCCTTGTCTTACCTCCCTCCAGCCCCTGTCAGGTACCCTTATTCCAATTATTCCATGGATATCTCATCCCCCTACTCCCAAATTGATAGCCTCTTTTTCTTTTATTATTATTGTTACATACATATATATTTATGCATATATTTTCACAAATATGTAAGTACAAGCTACTGAGTCTGTTTTATTGTTTGTCTGTACATGGTTTCAGGGCTTTTTTGATGAGATTATTAACAAATGTTTTTGCTTTTCTTCTATTTTCTTTACACAGCAGTGAAATAAGCTGGCATAGTACTAAGTACAGCTATATTTACTTTATCACTGTAAAAATAATTTCCCACCTTCCTTATAGTAAAATTTTAAAAATGAATCTGTTACCCTCAACTACTTAATATGAAGTAGTCATGCTTATGGATATCCATTTTTAACAATTTGGAATGGGTTAAACTATTAAGCATCCCTTAATGGTTTTCCATGTGATTTCAGGTTAACACATTTCTGTCATGTTAGAGATAACTTACATCTGTTCTTGTGAAACTTCATTGTTACCTTCAAGTTCATGCTAAGAACGAACATTCCACAGAATTCCCACAGCCTACTCTGGAACTGAGATTCTGTACATGCAGTACATTTTACCTTTTTGTGTTGAGTTCAGGAATAAAAATATAAGCTGCTTACAAAATGATCAAACTTGCTAGCAGTTTGGTTAAAGAAGTAGAGTCAGTGGTCTAGATAGTAGTTGAAGAAATACTGAAATTGATTAATGATCCCACATATAATAATATGTGTGAGTTTTATGCACAAATTAAATTATCATCATATGCTTAATGAATTTTCAGTGTTTGTGCTGAGCGGAGCACCCCTCAAACAGATGGCCTCTTTACTGAACATCCCATCACAGGATTTTCCCAGTCCTAAATTCCACTCAGATGCCTAAGTCATGGGTTGCTTTTCTGACAAAAGAAATTGGTCTTGATATTACGCATAATAGGTATCTCCTTATGTTGAGATTGTGAAAATCTTTTTGTTGGCTTTAAAAAGTGGTGCTCATTTAGATATACTGAGAAATTTCTGCTCCTTGACTCCACACTTTGCTTTGTTCTGTGTTCTCGTGGTTTGGCAATAGATGAGAGGCTGGTTTTCTGCCATTTGGGACTAATCGTCTAGGAGCAAGCTGATTTCCATTCATTATGTTCACATGGCAGTGTCACTTATATTTATATTTGAAAAGAGCATTTATTCTGCCCTCTTGGCCTCATGAACACCTTCAAAAGATTGTTCCTTTATAAAATGTGGGCACACCAAGTTACATCAAATTTTTCCTCATGATTCTTATGTCTGAGGGCTTACTTTATTTTACTAGGTCCAGAAATCAAGATATTCCCCCAAAATTAAATAAATAAAATTACAGTTGCAATGAATACTGGACTGTCTATTGCTGGGTAAAACAAGTGTCTGCCTTTCAATCAACCAGTGTTGTATAAAATTCTCATTTTGTATAATTTACTGTGCAATCACTGATTAGCCTCGATAAGACAATTACAACCTAAAATGTGTACCTCTTTGTGGGTAAACAAACCTAGTACTTTCTCAACTACTAGAATTCAAGCTAGACAAGAACACATTATGAAAATTCTCAATTACACAACAAGCCAAATGTGAGTCTCTAAACAAAGGCACAAAGTTTAAACATGAACATCAGTAAAGAACATTTGGTACCCACAGAAAATGATTACTAGCTCCCAGCTTCAGAATTGTTGGCTGTACACAGATGATCCTGAGACAAAGCCTATGGAATGGGAAGCAGTTCCACCACACAGTGCCTTCTCACAATACTGAGCCTTGTTTCAGGTTTCTTTTCGGGATGTGTAGCTAAACTAGTCACAGTCATTTAACTTACATGATTTTGAAATGAAATAAAAGATAATAGGCCTCATAATTAAGAAATTATAAACCCACTTTAGATCTGAAAGTACTTCCTGGTAATATAAGTTTCAAATTACAGGATTCTTTAGTTTTAAGGGTTATTTTTTTTTTAACATGATGTTAAAAAGGGGCCATAGGCAATTAACAACTCTGAGAGAGGAATAATTAGTTTTCCCCATGCATGAGCCCCCAATGAGCTATCTAGTACTTGGCCCTGAGATCATATATGAACAAGTAACTCCAAATGGGCTCTGTAGGATGTACCTATATATTAATGCATTTATGTACACATACAGCAATAGTAATTAAAGAGAAAAAGGCCAGGGGTTCGAGTGGGAATGAGGAAATTACATGGAATGGATATGGGAGGGATTGGAGGGAGGAAGGGAAATGGGTAAATGATATAACTATGTTTTAATTTTTAAAAAAGCAAATTGAGAAGTACCATAAAATTAAATTTTAGAAGTATGAATCAACATCTGGAAACTAGTGAGAACAGGGCTGCCTATCTTACCCTACCACACAGCTGCATACCTGTGGCAGTTTTGAGTTGAGTCAGGCTCTCAGCTTCCCATCTGGCCACATGCTCATGAATCTGTGCATTTCAAGCCTTGATGCACTCTTGGTTAAGACCTCTCTTTAATGTTGCTGTTAGCTTTGTTTATACTGGGGGTCTTTGCAACACTCTCTGATTCGGTATCCAGCATTTCTCCCTCTCTTACAAAACCAAAAGATAAGGAAAACCTAAGCTTTTATCTTGAGGAATCTTTTTGTTGTTGTTCATGCTCTCTCAGCAATGAAATAGTGCCTCATTCCATACCTCCATCCTTCCAGGGCCTCTGATGAGGGAAAATCCATTGGATGTAGTAGGCTGCCTCTTTCCTGCTTCTTGCATATAGTGTCATAGTAAATGAATAAAGGCTCAATTGTGGAGCCTTTATTGTTGCAATAATTAGAAACTACAGAATCTGACACCTGGAGGGTACTCAGCTCTTGGCAGGAAGTGTCTGTGATAGAATAATGACTCCCCATTCTTAATACTCAGACCCTGTTTACTATGCTACTTGCTGGCTACGTATGACCTCCAATTTCTATGATGTCTTTGTTAACTTCCTTTTCCCGGGGTGTCTACCATGGGGAACACCTTTCTTTCAGGATGGACAGGGGAGCTGAGTCACAGTTTTTAGATTTTGGCTTTGCTTCTGAGCTTACAGAGTTGTATATCCTACAAACACATGGACTTTACTTGTGAAAAATGTAAATATTGCTGCAGTTATACTTCCAAAGACTGGAAGATTACTAAAATGCATATTAACATTAGAAAATTCTGCAATCACTAAGGATTCACCAGAAGTTCTCCCATGTTAATGTCTGCTCATCCTACTGTACATCCAATCACTGAGAGCTTAGAGTATACATCACAGGCTTTCTCAGTTTTTTTCTCTACTGTCTTCCTCTGAAGTCCTGGTGATCCTAATATTCTGTTAAAACTATGGAAATATGACAATATTTCAATTAAAAGTAATCAGTGAAATCTTGTATGGATATTCACCTTCAGCTGTGTTTTGATTTAGTGAACTTTCTCCTGAAATTTTCACCACTCTCTTCCAAACAATCTTCGTTCCTGCTCTTCATTTTCTCCAAGCTTTCTTTCTCCGCCTTAGCATGTTTTTCCTTCTGGTTCCCTTTACACTGCCACAGAGAGTGTGTGATCATGTGCTACGTGCATTTCTGAGATGCCCATCCTCTTTCTGGAGCAATAGTTATGACCCATCTTCTTGTCTAACCATGTCTTCCATTTCCGTCTCTCCTGTCACTCACTTGGTTTCATTCAGACTATTAGTGCGACTACATTCTAAATGTGTCCTGCTGAAGCCAGCCAGTGAGTGCAGAAATCCAAGGCCTAATGTAACTTACTGAGCAAAAAAACTCTACTATCCATTCACCGCTTTCAAAAGATTCTTGTAGAATGTGACTTTCATGTAGAGCAAAACAAAGCGAATCAAAAACAAAAAGTGTAGCTTGAATTATTGTGATGGGACCTGGGGCTTTTATGGGATATTTTTATTTTCTTAAATTCCTGCTTAATAGAGAATCCTGGAAGTTTAGAAACACTGAAAATATGTTGTGGGATCAGTACAGAAGCAAGGAGAGAAAAAGCAATACAGCTGGTTTCTAGTAAGATTTAATAATTTTATGTCCTAAGGAGAGATATAGAAGTGAGGGAAGACAGAAGATTAGGAGAACAACATTCCCAAATATAGAAGGGTGAGGAGCATAATGTAAGGTGTTGAAGGGGGAAATGATGAAAACTATTATGCAGAAAAATCCACTAACAATTTAGCTGAACAACTAATCCACCTCTCTCTATATATAACCAGCCCCCTGTTCTTTTTGTTCTGAGAACTCTACTTTCACAATGAGCCACTCTGAGCAATCTACGCATAGTCTAATAAGGAAGTCAAAAGTTCTTCATATTCTTTCTAAAGAATTCATCCTCTAATCAGCTATGACAGTTTCCATTGAAGACCATACCTATATTTGACCTTGCTTGACAAATTGTTAATTCTCCCATATTGCACTATCTTTGTCTGCATTTTCAGAGAATATTGATATTTCTATATATCTTTGCAGTCCTGACCTGCATAGTATAATTTAATATTTTGGATATTCATTTGTTGATTATTAATTTATTTTACAAGGTTGATGTTTATTATGAAAACATGAAATTATTCAGGAAAAATTGCTGCCATGAATATCAACTAATTGTTCTTGTACTTATAAATACAAATTAATATGCTTTACCTCTAAAAATACAAAAATGGTATTGGTGGCAGACACCTTTAAACCCAGCACTTGGGAGTGCAGAGGTAGGTCGGTCTCTGTGAGTTCAAGGCCAGCCTCATCTACAAAAGTTAGTTCCAGGACAAACTCCAAAGCTATACAGTGAAACTCTGTCTCATAAAACCAATAAAAAAAATACAAAAATGTATTTTAATTAAATTTGAATATTTATAATTAAGGAAATAGTTTCTTCCATTTGATTGTTTCTTTTAAAAGCCTCATGCAAAGTCAATTTTAAATCTTTCAGTTTCATTCAAATAGTTTCTAGGTATTTGGTATTTTTTGACAGGGTTGACAAATGTTTGTAAATATAAAAAAAGCCCAACATACCTTCCTATCCATCTTCAACAGTGTCCACACTATTGTTGCTGTCTGCTTTGAGGATAAATTTTTGTTGTTTTAAGTGAGCATTTGCTGTATTAGTTTAAACCACAAGAAACTATGATTAACCACTTTTCACTTACAGAATGGCAAGTTATCTGACTCACTTCAGGGCTGTGTTTGTGTGTTTGTGTGTTTTACATGTATATGACATTCTCAGGATAGTATTATGCCTGCATGGGACATTGCACTGATTCCTGTTTTCATTACAGGCCAGCAATATGACAGTGAAGTCTCCTTCCACTGACATCTTTGATATGGTACCATTTTCCCCAATATCACAGCAGTCTCCAACCCCTGCTCGCAATGGCACACAGCTCCCACCAGTACCCAGCAGATCTACTGAGATCAGTAAGCACTCTAAATATATTAGTATTCTTGCTATATTTGGGTGTATTTCAGTCTTTTACATTTTGTGAAAATAATGTAACAAACCTGTTACAAGAATTTTCCCACCATCCTGTCCCACAGCTGCGTCAGCCCCAAATAACTACTGAGCTACTGAGCCACTTAGAGACTATGATAGAGGATGAGTAACATAAATCTTTCTTATATGGTACTGAATTTAGAAATATAAGGTTCCGAGAAGTGTAGGAATATAAATGTGTAAATGCATACTCCTTGTATAATTTTTATTTAATTTACTGTTGTATTTAATTTATTCTGAAGAAGTACATTTCTTAATTTTTATCAATCACCAACATTATTTTAACTTTGCTACTTTTATTATTTTGAGATTCTAATTTAATTGCAACATTTTCCCATCTCTTTTCCTTCTCCAAACCTTTCCATGTATTCCTCCTCATTCTCCTTCAATTTCATGACCTCTTTCCACTAATTGTCATTGTATGCATATATGTATATTATGTGCATTAAAATTCCTAAATATAACCTTTTGTGTCCTAAAATGATATTTGAATCATGTTTACAGGGCAGACTGTTTGGAACTGAGCAACCAGTTGGTGTGCTCTTCTATGGGGAATATCAGTTCTTCTGCTTCCCCTTTACTAGCTTTACTAGGTTACCTATAGTATTTGTTTTTTGGGGTTTTGTTTGGTTTTGTGTGTGTGTGTGTGTGTGTGTGTGTGTGTGTGTGTGTGTGTGTGTGTGTAGGGTTGAGGCCTGTGGACTCTTCTTCATCCAGTTTCTCATGTTCATAGATGTCATTCTTTTTCAGCTCACTTTTGGGAAGTCATGTTTGGTGAGAATTTATAGGTGTAGCTTCTGCCATTACAAGGAGTAAAATCCTGTATGCTCTTACAATGTATCTGCCCCCTCTTCTACAGTGTCCCCTGAGCCTTGGTTGTGAATGTTTTACAGATGCATTCACTGACACTGGGCTCCATAACTCAGCATTTTGACTGGTTGTAGTTTTCTGAAGTGGTCTCTGTCTGTTGCAAAGAGAAGTTTTGAAACTTAGCAAACTACTCAGCTGGTGATGTCATGGTTGTTGGAGGAGAATCTACAACTATTAATTTACCAAATTAGCAACATAAGTCCTAACAAAAATCTTTAAACATTTGTCCTTATACCCACAGATAATTGTAGCCTTACCCCTCTTCAAGGGAACATGGATACTTCTCTGACAAAATGAATGCATACTTTCAAGTGTTTGTGAGGTACATGAAGGCAACTGTTTAAAGTATCTATAGAGGCTGAGTGATTTTTTTTAATTTTAATAATTTTTATATTACAGTATAATTACACAAGTTTCCCCATTCCTTTCCTTCCCCCCTAAGCCCTCTATGTAAACCCCCTTGCTCTCTTTCAAATTTTTGTCATATTTAATTATATTACATGTGTATGTTCATACATGCACACACATACATATGGTCCTATATATAAATACAACCTCCCCATCTGTATTACATATATGTTTTCAGGACTAATCATTTGGTACAGGATAAGCAATTGGTTTGCTAATCCCTCAGGAAGACTACTTCTCCCACTCTTAGTCTTACTTAGTTGCCTGTTGTTCTTTCTCCAGTTTTGGGGTGTTCATTTGGTTTTGCTTTTGTTTGTTTGCTTCTTGGTTTCTGTTATGTGTACGCTCCTTCTTTTACTTACAGGGCATGTTGACCTGATATGGCCTTGAGGAATGAAATCAAGTCAGGTTGGAGGGGACACAACAGAGGTTGTGACAATTTTATTGAGAGAAATCAGACTTTTTATACCTTTATCTGAACAGGATATAATGGCAATAACCATGATCAATACAGTTGTCCTGCCATACAGTTTGCAAGCCATACAGGGCACACAAGATTAATGTCTAAGACCAATTGTCCTGTCGAGCTTCCATGCTTCTGTGACTACTAAGGAAACATACAGATAAACACAAAGCAGCTCAAATGCTTCACTGCTTGATGGAGTACACTGGTCACTAAAGAACTGGAAGGTGCATTGTGTCCCAGGATCCATGGACTCTAACCCGATAAACCTATGATGCATACCTCTCTAGGCAGTTAAGCTCAGCCAACTCCATGGTCCTCTGTAGTTTTGTTCTGTTTTTCCAGGACAGCATCTCACTGTGTAGCTTTGTCTGTCCTATAACTCGCTATCCAGACCAGGTTTGCCTCAACCTCACAGCTACAAACTTGACTGTTTCTGCTTCCCAAGTGCTAGGGTTAAAGATGTGAACCACTATGTCTAGCTGTTTTTTCTATATTTACTTTTTTGAGAATTTCATACATGAGTTCAGTACTTACATCAGTTTTTCTTTTTATGCTTAAATTAAAAACAATCTTATTTTACATACCAATCTCGGTTCCCTCTCCCTTCTGTCCTCCCATTCCCCCAACTAACCCCTCATCCCTTCCCCACCCCATCCACTCCTGAGGAAGGGTGAGGCCTCCCATGGGGGAATCATCAAAGTCTATCTAATCATTTGGGGCAGTTCCTACACCCTTCCCAGTGTATCTAGGCTGAGAGAGTATACCCCCATAGGGAATGGGCTCCCAGGGTAACACTGCCAAGGCCCCATAGAATGCCCTGGCCTCTCAACTGATACCCACATTTAGGGGGCCTGGCTCGGTCCTATGCTGGTTCCCAAGCCGCCAGACTGGGGTCTGTGTCTTCCCCTCACTCTTAATGCCTAACTTGTAAGGTGAGATTTTTCTGGCCTAGCAAGCCCTACTTCCTCTTCAGCCCCAAATGAACATGAAGGGGCTATATTAATTATGAAACTGTTGACCAGTGACTAGCATTTCTTATTGACTAGCTCTGCCTTAAATACTAATTCATTTTTATCAATCTAAGTATTTCCACATGGTCTTGGCTTACCAGGAATGTCAGACCTGCAACTCCATTGCCTGCTATATTTCCACAGAGAAGACAGCAATTTCCTATTTGTCCTAGCTTATATTCTGATTCTTCCTAGTTACATCACTTCCTCCCTGTCTATATAGACTCCCAAACCTCTATGGTTAGCTAGTGGCAGTTTCGGCCCAGCTATGTCACTTCCTGGGATCACATGATGACTCCTCTCTGTCTACATTCCAAGAATCCTCCTTGTCTCCTATTCCTACCTATCATCTTGCCTGATCAATCAGTGTTTTAGTCATCAACCAATAAGACAAACATATACAGAGGAGCATTCCCCATCACTAACCACCTCCCTTCAAATTCATGACCTTCCTCTTAATTATTGTTATACATATATGTATATATAAATACAGCCAGTTGTGCATATTAAGAAACTGTTTTGACGTGCATCCTTATCATTTTTTTAAATAAAAATCTGTTTTTTTCAGTTTAGAACTCTTGCTAAAAATTTGTTTCATTGTTGTTTATGAAAATTCTATCATTTCATACTGTTCGTGACAAAACAACATAAAATTTCTCCTGGTAAAAATGAGATACAAATTTATAAACTACAAGTAAACTGCTAACTTAACAAATTCTACACACTGCTTTGCCATTGTGTTGTAAGGCAGCAACAAATGGAGTTAGAGAAATTTCATATGGGATTACAATAATATCATTAGATTCTACAATAAAACATCAGTGTTGTTATAGGTCAATTACAAAATATTGGTAATGTTGTTAAATAGTTTCACTAAAGACATAGAAAATTCTCTAGAAAGCAACTTATCATGACCACAGTCATTTTGTCTTCATGGCCAAAACTGACCTTGAATTCTTTAGAATCCCTATCCCTCAAGTAGCAGTATTATATATATTAACACATGACCAAATGTTTTGTAAAATTAGTTTTATTAATTATTTGAAAATTTTGTACAATGCATTTTGATATATACAACCTCCTCCTCTCCATAACTTTCCCCAGATCCAAGACCAATTCATGTACCCCTTTCTTATATAACTCACCAAACCTAATTTGTGTTGTTCATGTACTCATGGGTGTGGGTCTATTTGCAGGAGCTACACATTTCCTTAAAGAACACTGACTTTCATATACCTGGAATGCAATAGCTGTAAAAGTTCCTCAGTTAGAGGTCAGGAGCTCATGAGCTCCTTCCTACTACACTCCAGAATGTTGAGTAGCTTGATCTTGGGCAGGTCATCCCAGCTACTATGAGTTTATGAGAACAGAGACTATATATTTGCATGACACTGCTCTGCTCCTATCCACCCTGACCACTGGCTCCTGCAATTTTTCTAGCTCCTCTTGCAAAATGGTTCCTAAATTAGAGGTGTGAATGATTTAGACATCCCATTTGTTGCTGAGCACTCCACTGACACTTAACTTATGCTCCACTACTGAATCCATAGTCCTATCTTACCACATCAGTCATTATCATAGCTCACAGATTTCAAAACTGGGTAAGTCTTTTCATAATGGTTTTTTCCTTCGAGTAGCCAAGCCTAAATAATACCCACAGTCCTGTGAAATCTGGCCAAAGTGAAAAGAGCTTCCTGGTTAGTGCCAACTTGATTTCTCCATATTCTGTGACCCAAGTGTGTAGTCTTTGACAATAAAATCTTGCCATAAAGTTCTGATTGGCCACCAAGAACTGTAGCAAAGGCTTCTATTATTTGTGGGGACTATTGAACACCCTGGATCGACCTCTAAAGTAGATATCCACATTTGATATTTGGTTTTATATTTGCCAACCTATGGTTTCTGGGAGGAACATTATCCTATGTGTTACATAACTGCAATTAAACTCTTTTATATGAACATACAAACACACACGAAGCATGTCAAAATAGTAGGTTTCTATATGATTTTTGTGCATCATTAGTGTTGGTTATGCCTTCTCCAATCCTCTGCCCTACTCTTCCACCCCTCTTTCTACTTAAACCCCCTTCTGCATTTTCCCCTTCATATCATCTATGTTATACTATTCGCCTCCCTTAGATCGTCCTACACTTTCTTTACCAATAATCCCAATCTAGTTCCTAAATACTCTGTTAAACACAATTATAAATATTTGACACTAAAATTCACATATGAATGAGAACTTAACATTTGTCTAGGGTAATTAATACCATCCTGAACATGACTGATTCCATCTTGACAGAAATATTTAATATCATAAAAGATATTTTTGCTTACTTAGTTCAAGAATACCCAACATAAATTATAAGAATCAGTAGCTCATTCAATCATGTAAATACTTATGCTATTATAATTAAATTCATACTTTTAAATCATAACCCTGGTTGTGTTATGCCTCAACTAATGTTTGACCATCTCACCAAATGTTTTTTCTCATTATAGAACGGGACCTTTTTGGAGCTGAACCTTTTGACCCATTTAACTGTGGAGCAGGGGACTTCCCTCCAGATATTCAGTCCAAATTAGATGAGATGCAGGTGATTATTTTAACAGACCGGACCACACATTCTATATTTTATATTTATACAAAAACTCTATCCCTTGTTGCTATAAAGGCTTATTTAATGAAGTTAGACTAACAATAATAACACTTACTCTTAAAAACTCTTACACATGCTAAGAATTGTTTCTTTATTTCTTTGATTGATTCAATATACAATGGAAAGTAGATGCTTATTTTTTTAATTCAAAATGTCAAGATTCTGATTTTTTTTAAATCAGGAATTTAAAGGTCATTGGCATGAAATTGTAAAATTTTTTGTCTCAGTGTTAATAGTTCTGAATTTCCAAACTTAAAGGGGTTGGATGAAGAGAAATTTATGAAAAGAAGCATATTATAACTGTGCCTCAAGAGTTCTGGACTACTGAGAAAGCAGACTCCACTGATAACTTCTTTAGGATTATGGTCAATTAATTCTCTCCTTTTTTTAGGTTTTTCTGAAAGTTGTAAGAAATTGGTTTTTAAAGTTTCATACAATGGGCAATGATGGAAAAGCAGTCATATTTAGATTAGAATGAAGACTTCTTTTTATATGTACCCTTCACATTTGGGTCATATTGTACATAACAAGCTTCATAGTTGATAAAATCCAGAAAAGCACCAGTTACTTGGAACCAACTGAGATGAGATGGTTGAGACACTAATGTGAGGTGTTCGAGTTGTTCCTGTTTGTTGTCTTGGTTTACCTGCTTGCTCCTTGTGTTTCACCACCCTGGTACACCCCCCTCCCCCAAATCAGAGGACAAACTGTGCTCTAAATGTGGCAAACACGTGCCTTTCCCTGAAACAATAATATCAATATACTTTAATTTGGATAAGTGACATGCTGCCAGCCTTATTTTCTAGTTATTATGTGTGCATCTTTTTGGTTCTAGGTTTAGTAATATGTCTGAATTTAGAAGGTTGAGTTATTAAAACATGCCTTGATGTTTTCAAAGACTATATTAAAATTTCCAAAATGTAATCACTTATAATTCCTTTACCACAAAAACATTAGAGCCTTAAAAATTTACTAAATTTTTTTAACTTGAAAAAATTAATAGTAATATATTTCCTAATTATATGCTTTTATATAATTAGGAATCATAGCATCAAAAAAGTTCACATTAAGAACTTTAATAAATTAAGATGTATAGCATTTGGGAGGTGAAACAAAGATCACTCTATGAAACTTCTGTTCTTCTCAAAATGCATTATGTCTGATGGCAGTGATTTCTCACCTTTATATCTCAATTTCTTTGAAAACTGCACTTAAATGAGGCTGGCTAATGAGACATAATGCTGTGTCCTCTCTGGAATTAATTCCTTTCCTTTGTTGTCATCTGTGCTAATTCGAATAAGCTATCTGGGACAATGCCTGTAGAACACGAGCATGGGAGCTAGGAGAAGTAGCTGTCTCAGGGTGATGCAGATCATGAAGTCTTTCCTGGAGGCCTTTTGTTTTTAATTCTAAACTCAAAACCTCAATAGGTTTTAAAAGATAAACCTTCAGACTTTTGTAGGAACCCAGTCTGAGAAAATAAAGAAGTGATTTAGCAATGTGGTGATCAGGTAATATTAAACTCGGGTGTGATGCTGTGGGTTTGATGTTTCTAATATTTTCTTAATGTCTTTTTATTCTCATGCTTTCATGTGGGTAGCGCCAGAGATGGTTGGTATCTCATTTTCATCATTTAAAGAGATAACAAAATGTTCTTAAGTAAAATTTTTCTGTTTGCATGTCTTGTTTAATAATTACTCAAACAAATTTCGGATGGATATATATGACTAGTGTGTGATGAGTGTTTAATGAGGTTTCAAACTCAGATCTTCAGAGTAAATTTTCAGTGATTGTCAGTATTTCATTCTTCACTTCTTTATGTGTGTCTGTTAGTTCAAGAATTACTTGCAAGGCCACTTTAACACAGTTAGTAAAATATATTCTTTATTTGAATCTATAATGAATTTGTTATTAATCTTGTTATACTAACTAATATACACATATCATATTGCTATTGTATCTTTACATGCTATATAAAATGCCAATATACTGTATTAAGCTGTGAACACTATATGATGCTAGTGATAAACCTCTTAGCTAAGTATTTGGGGTTTCTTCTTTCTTAAAGAGGATTAAAACTCAATTATTCCTAAGAGTTACAGGCTATCTTTGAAATTCTAAGAATATCTTGTGCATGTACAAATTAAAGCAGAAATGTTAAGCAACATTTCATTTCAAATAATTGGACAATTTAATATATATTTGAAATCAATCATGGAGTTATTTGATGAAAGAATTTAAACTACAAGGCATGTGTTTCTGTAAGACAAAGGAATAGGATAATATTGATAGCCATGGACATATTCAATGAACTGTAATAATGAAATATAGAGTCAAGGGGTTAGCTCAGTTGGTAAAATGCTAGCCATGCCAATATGAGCACCTTAGTCTTACAATTCATAAGCATGGTAATCGCAATACTAGGGAGACAAAGACAGGCATTTCCAGGGGCTTATTGGCCAGTGTAACCTAACTAGGAAGTTCAAAGCCAGTGAAAAACCCTGCTTCAAAGGACATGGGAGACATTGCTGGAACATGATCTCTGGCCTCATATATGTGTACATGCATGTGTGTATACACCCACACTTGCATATACACATACACCAGTGCACACACATACATAAACATATAAACACACATGCATAAAACAATGTGATATGTTTTAAAACAATGACAAGTGTATAAATAAAAGAGTTATGCACAACTATCAATTCAACTGTTTAAAAATTGGGTGGAGGGGCTGTGTATGAAGGAAATATACCTCCAGGCGAGTATCTCAAAGAGGTTGGTGGCATTCCTAGGGAGCAATGGCCAAACTGGTCTCTAGCTTCCACATTCATCCATATACATATGCACACAAACCTGTGTGCGCCTGCAGGTATCTTTGTAATTGTAGGAACAGAGCAAAAATAAGCCCAGGTTCACAAAAAGGTCACAGTTGGCTAATCCACTTGTGAATGTGCTCTGTATAACCAAAACAAACATACTAATAATTTTTAAAAAAGCTTCAAGGGTCATTTTTATTTAACAGGAAATTTATTTTTTAGATAAACAATACATACAACATACTAGAAAATTATATATAACATATTCTATGAAGAAAAGCTTTGTTCTCATGAACTTGAACACTCCATAAGAACATATAAAGAAGGACTAAACATAGTGTCTCTTTTTCTACTATGTACTTTCAAATAGAAAAATATAGTTCAGCAAATTGTTTCATATGAAAATACAATTAATGCTTTAATTATAGAGTAACTCTTTCGTGATTTAGCTAGTAATACGTCCCATCATTACATTAAATGAATAAGCCTCATTTTTAATCAGAGGCTTAAAAATTTGAGAGAACAAAACTGAAACTGTTGAAGGGTAGTCAGGAATGTACAGAGAAGTTTCTATTCTTGTAGATTTATACCATGAGCATGTACTGACAGCCCTGATAACTGTCATTTTCAGGAATAATGAAATAATAGCTGATGTAATTTTATAATGAATTGAAAAAATTTTAAAGTGCTGTGTGGCATCAAATTGTCCCTCGACCATATTGTATTATATTATATCATATCAGCTACTTATCTGTTATCTATATGTTAAATATCATCCATTTATCATCATCTGTTATTCAAAGTATACTAGAAGATATCAGTGTATAGGCCTTTAGATAGCAACCAAATGTTTGTAAAAAGGGATAGTAATACTTTCAGTACTCACTTTTAAAAGCATTTTACTATTAACAAATACACATAACAAATAGTTCTTATTGTTATACAGGCTTTTTAAAATTATTAATAACTGCTATGATCTTTACCCTGTTGAATATAATTTTCATCTAAATTGTGGAAATAAGTTTGGATACCTTTCCAGTACTGACAATACTATGTAGTCTGTGTGCAATAAACGTAATGAGGTTGACTACAGATATGTTTACATCTTTAAAGCTCTTGCCTCCTGTATATAACAATATTTGCTTTTCACAAATATAAATGTATTTAAATGCTGATTTTAAATGAATATAATTGGGTAATATCACAATGCCTCTCACGGAAACCCACATTCTTACCTCTGTTTCTACTGATTAGCACATATCTGTGCTTCTCTTTGTAAGCCAGGGGCATGATGAGATTGGAGAAAGACTGGAGGATCTGAGAAAAGTAATAATTAAATTGTTTCTTTGAAAAGTAGAAGTTAGGCATTGTGGTGCATGGCTTTAATCCCAGCTGGCACCTTGTAGGCAGAGACAGGCAGAGCTCTGAGTTGGAGACCAGCTTGGTCTATAAAAGCGAATTTTCAGGACTACACAGAGAAACCTTTGTCGTAAAAAAACCAAACCAAACCAAAAACAAAAAGGGTTAGGGTTAGTCAAACCTTGATATGGACAACATAACTCCATTGTCATCAGCTTTGAACGCCAAACCTAAATTCAAATACATAAAACTTTCTTGACAATTATTCACTTAACATTCAAAACTAAATGGCATCTTACTTTCTAAAGCATGCAAAGAGATAGAGTCAAAGTTGAAACTATATATACGCATACACACACGCATGATATGCCTTTATCAACAATTACCAAAAAAAGCGGTCATAAATTTGAAGTAGAACAGAGAGAGAGTATATGAGAGATTTTGGAAAAAGAACAGGGAGGGAGGAAATGATATAATTATAATTTCAGAAATAAAAAAAAATAGTAAACATGTTTGGAAAAGAAAAGCAACAACAGAACTGATGGACAGCTTTCAGATGGAATAGTAGTAGTCCCTGATACTGAATTCTGTTTGGGATATAGCACTGCCCTTACAAAAGTATTTGACCAAGGATGTGGACTGTGGTAGCCAGAAAGAAAATATGATATTATTAATACGTCAGGCTACCTTGAAGCCCCAATAGAGAGGCTGAACAAAGAGCTCAGCAGTGAACTGCTCTTGCAGGGGACTTAACTTCAATTTCCAGAACCTGTGGTGAATGCCTCACAATTATCTACAACTCCGGCTCCAGGAGATGCATCTCCCTCTGCTGGTCTTCTGAACATACACACACACACACACACACACACACACATACATACACACACACACACACACACCACCACCACCACCACACCACACACACACACCACACATACACACACACACACACACACACAGAGAGAGAGAGAGAGAACTTTTAAAGAACTAGTAAACAAGTTAAAGTAAAATGGAATGTTAAAAATGTCTGCTACAAAAGAAATGGATAAGTTGTAAAACTATTCAATGTCTTAGACTGACATTTTCTTCTGCTTCTTATACACATTCAACTCAAATACTTAAGATAGCAAAATGTCACTAAATATAAAAGAACTCACAGTAATTTACATCTGTATAAATATTTGATAAAGCTAAATCTGCATTTACTAAAATCATGAAGAATTTAATTTCTGTTTTACTTAGTGATAGGATTTTTTTTCCCATTAGTGTTTTACTTTAACAATTTTATTCTGCTTTACAGGAGGGGTTCAAAATGGGACTAACCCTTGAAGGCACGGTATTTTGTCTCGACCCGTTAGACAGCAGGTGCTGACATCAAGAATGAGTGATCCAGACTTAACACTTAATTTGTTTATATACCTATGTATATCATTCATTAGTTTAAGACAGTTATCATACTGTGCCAATATATTTTTAAATATCTAAATGTTTTTAAATCTGTTGAAGTAAAAATCTCCTTACTTTCACTCTTGATTTATTACTTACTTTAGGCAGAACTTAGTGTAATGTATATTGGACTTTTATGTTCTCTTTTGTGTTATGACTGAATTTTATTGAAAGACAATTTTTTTCTAAATATCTGACTTGTCTGTGTTCTAAATAATCATCAATTGAAATTTATGTTCATTCTCCAGTCCATTAGTTCATTACCCTTGTCCCAAAGCCATACTTTGATATCTTTCAAATTTCTGAAAAGAGAGACAAATGTCAAACTATACATATTCTATTTTGATACCAGTAAACAGCCTACCAGTCATTAGAGAGATGTCATTTTGTGTATAAAATGTTCATCTCATCATGAAAATCTAAAATTTGGCTATTATGCTACCACCTTATGAAATTCTACCTGATAAAGTAAGAATATAAGTTCCAATAGTAATTATATAAAATATATTTAGAATATGAATAAATATGAAATAATAACATCAGTCTTTTAAATTATATTCTAAAAAATGTTCAATTTGTCTCTAAAGTAACAGTTGTGGGGGGAAATGCCTTCCCTGAAAAATTTAAAATTTTATTTCTAATGTGTTGTCATATTAGTATCACATTGGGCCAACATCTGATCTGATACATTAAGAAATGAAATGTATGCTTGCAATAGATGTAATGCCTACTGTCTATTCTTATTTTACCAATATTTTTCAGATATTCTGTGATATGTTATTTCTCTTACCAACATTACAACTTCCATTAGTTTTGATACTTTGAAATTTCTGAGAGGTGTTCTATTTAAATTTAAGAATATTTAACAATTTAAATTTTAATTTGCTGTGTTAAAGTCAGAATATACTTTTCACAGAAATTTCTCTTCAGTTTCTAATGAGGTTTAATAAGGATCAGGGTAAACAATTAGGCCGAACAGATGTTTATTTCAGGGAGAGATAACTTACAACCTAGACAGATGAACACCAGCAGGTTCCACAGGATGCTCTCTTCTCAGCATCCCCCAGCAAGAGAGCAATCCCTGGCTCCTTTTCGGACCTAATTCCACTGGTCACTTCCGCCCCTGGCTCCACCCCCAATGGGCGTGGTCAGTGCCACAGAAGGAGACAAAGTGAATATCCCACTACAAGTTTCATTTTGAATATGAGCAATAAAATTCTCTAGTACTCATTCTGTTATGTTGTTGAACCCTGACCCTTGAAAACATATGCTTCCAATATATTTGCCCATGTTGTAAAATACTAACGGTAGTAGTGCATATTAAAATGGTCAAATTTCTAACGTGATTTATCACAATATAAGAAAATAAAGTAAGAAAATTCTGGGCTTATCTATGGGAAATTTGTCAACACTAGATTTTTACTTATGGAGTTTTATGCAGCTGTTAAGAGTACGTTTTCATTAGGAACAGAAATCAAATATACTCATTATATTTGTACTATCATGTTTTGTGGTATAGCTGTGCCTTTCTGTTTACATTCTGTTATACTTGCTAAGTTAAACCTTAATTAGTGGGTAATATGTGTTCCATCAGGAAGTCCTTACTGTTCTATTTGTCAGATAGTATTTTGGAATTTGTATAATGAGGATGTTTAGAAGCCATCTAATTGGCTTTTTTTTTAAACAGATAGAGTTTGTATTTTTATTGTACTTTAAAAAGCTTTATGTACTGGGTATATATTTAGAAAACATTTATTATCAATTGTAACACAATAGAGTACTAAAATGATATTTGCACATTTAAGATATGTTACTTACCAAGTTTTAATGGTGATTGGTTCTGCTACTGGCATGATCAAATAGTACATAATTGGTCATTAATATGAACATTTACTTCACCAGTGAATTTTTATGAAGACATGATTGGAAATTGTATTTCTATGTAAACTCAATGATATGTTTGATTTTACTGAGAATAAAAGATTTTAAATAAATTAAACTATATGGTATATTCATTTAATTATCTATAAATACATCCTAAAGATACATATTTAATTTTTGTATTCATAAGTTAGAGCTGGGCAGAGAGAGACTTTAACCTTTGACCTATTTTTCTCAGCCCACACGTTTCATTTTTATGAATAAATATCACTCAGTTGTGCAAACATGGACTTATTGCTGATGATGGCAAAGGTAATGATTTGGTTCCTGTTACCAGAGCATCTGATGTAATAATAATATAAATATTGCTATTCAAAGCTGATTGTTCCTTTAGAGTGTCTTGGTTGACACTCTTCTCAGTGGACTTGATAACAGGACTGTTGAACTGTACTGTCGGGAAGAATTTTGATCTTCTCCCAACATGATGTTAAACATTTGAGGACACATGGTTCTCATACATACTGCCATTGCACACAGAATTATGTATCAGTTCATTCAACAAAATGTATTTATCATCACTTTACCTTACACATGTAATGTAGGTGGGAAAATATCCAGGAAATTTGCTAATGTAGTATTAATTTGGCAGAATTCTTCATTTCAAATAAAAGTAAAAGAAATATATGGGTTAATAAATGAAAAACAATGTATACATCAAAAAATCACATGAGCCAATCACTTTGCTTGGATCATGTACATTTGACTATGTTTAAACATGAGTACTTTGCACGGGGCACTTGTGTCAGATATATTATGAGAAGTTTAACAGGAGAGAAAATAAAAGATTGCTCTCATTTATATTTAGTCCTTGAAGTTTATATTTGATTTTTATTTTAAAGATGAAATGTCAGATGGACCTGAAAATAGCTCTTATGTAAATGTGTCTGCCACCTACATTGATGACCTGATTTAGATATCTCACTGGAAGAAGGGAGTTGACTCTTACAAGCTGTGTTCTGATCTCCACATATATGCTGTGCACATGTGTGCCTACCCCTGCCACACAGACAGATACACACAATAATGTAAAATTAATTGTTGAACTATAAAAAACTTGAATCATATAGTGGAAATTCATACTAAGATAGATATATTTTGATATTTTTTATGATGTTTAATTCCTAAATGCTACTATGTTTTACTTTTATTTTTCCATAACTGAAAAATATTGGCTGTTAATATTTTTCTGTGCCAGTATTTCCATCTTTAATTCCAACTTCAATATTTACTCATGATTTTGGATTTCAGCCTCTGTTAAATTACTTGTAGGGTCTTGGACTGAATTTTAAATTTTAACAACTAAATCTGAGATTCCACCTAAACTACACCCTTTGCAAACAGCTAAGGCACTACTGATGTTATCATGTGTACATTCACCTCCACCCTCATGTGTTCTATGAGAAGTGTCTTCTTCCTAGATAACTCAAGACAAATCTCTGAAGCATTTGTTCTCAAGTTCCCATAAAATGTGTTGAACATAATACAAGACATAATTCTTAATCATGAACAATTTTTGATAATATTTTTTCATTTAAATTTGAAACAAGCTTGTCTTACATGTCAATTCCAGTTCCCTCACCCTCCCCTCCTCCCCCATCCCTCTCCTAACCCCCATCCCATCCACTTTCTGCTCCCCTAGGAGGGTGAGGCATTCCATGGGGGAACAATTTTTTTTTATTATATGTTCACCGTGATACCCTGGTCCTAAAATTCTATCTACTGAATCATTTTAAATTCATCCAAAGTGAAATCTTCTACTTAGGCAAAGACACTAATTCCTAAATTCCTTGCAACCTTCCTTCAAATTAATTTTTATGAAATATGGATGTTAACACTAGACTGATGCCTTTCTTTTTCTACACTGATTATTTTACATTACATTGTATTTATTTATATTTCATTTATTTTTGAGATTATACTATGATTATATCATTCTTTTCTTCCCTTTCCTCCTTCCAAACCCTTCCATCTACTCCTTTGCTATCTTTCAAATTCATGCCCTCTTATTTTCATTGTTACACACATGCATAGCATGTATATAAATATGTATTTCTAAATATACTCTGATCTGTATAACATGTGTATGTTTTCAGGGCTGACCATTTGATTTATTTTTTTCCTGGGGAAGAACTATTTCTGTTGCTCTCAGGATTCCTTAATTGCCTGTAGATCTTCATGTAAGCAACACTTTTCAGATGACAGTTAACTGTTATACAGATGACCCACTAAATATGGATGAGGAAGGAAGGTTGCCTTGCCATTTCTGTAACTTCTCTGCTGCTGAGCACAAGAGTTCACTCATAAGCATTCAGTATGAGATTTATGTCTTTTAACACGTCCTTGATAATGTATAGACGCCAGTTTCTTATGCACACTTATGTAAGAAATAATTTCATGCCTTCTTAATAAATATTAAGATAAATAACCATTCATCCTCTACAACAAAGTTAATTAATACAAGATTAATTTAAACCTTTTCTTCCAGGGAGACAAAGTCTCTCTGACTAGTCTGGATTTCACTCTGTAGATCAGGTTGGCCTTGAATTTACAGAGGTCTGCTTGCCTCTGACAGCCCAGTGCCAAGATTAAGGACATGCACCACCACTCCTGGCCATCACTTTAACTTTGATTGCACTGATAACTTGTCAGTTAAACACTTTATAGTTGTCTGAAAGCATCCAGCTACTATCATGGAATTATAGATCAAAGAATTGGAATTACAGGTCAAAGAATCCTTATCCAGTTGAAAGAAGAAAACAAAAGGATGGTTCTTTAGCTCCAGAGTTTCTGAATACTAAATGATGAAAGTTACATAACTATTCATATTTCCTGTACTCAAACAACCTTTACTTGTTGAGCCTATATATCAAATATTGATAGTTTAAAACTCAAAACTTAACTACATTTGAATTCTGTATTGTGAGCACATACTTTTTCATTGGATATAACTGTTTTTAAGTTATCTTCCGTTAACATTTCACTATTCTCTTCAGAAGCAATTTCATGAGAACAAGCTGGGGAACTTCCAGTTGACTCCACCCTCCCCTCAGTCTGGAAAGGCTTTTATGTTCAAGTCTGTTCCAAAGGTCACTTGTTCCAGTTGAAATTGTTGTCCGGATGGCCTGGAAGCAATCCAGGTTCTGGTTCTTTCTTGCAAAGAAAGCAGAGACAGATGTTTGTCACTTGGCTACATTTCCGAAGACAAAAAAAAAAAAAAAAAAAAAAAAAAAAAAAAAAAGGAAAGGACTGTTATGGCTGAATTTACTAATAGCTGGAAGCCCATAGTTCTGGGACATAATGAGAACTGTGGCTGTTTTCCACTTATTTTACTTTAAATACACTTTGGAATCAAGTTGTTTACCATCAATCTCTAAGTAATTAAACAGTTATTGAATAGTATGTCAGAGTGTGTACAGAGATTTTAACAAATATTCAGAAAATTTGAATTCCCCAGTCTATATCCTCCACACACAGTCCATTTGCTATTCAGATCACCATCTATTTGTTTTTACTGGCTGCTTTAATGGAAGATAAATTGAGTTTTACTAGACAGTGTCAGCACACAGGATAGGAGGTGACAGGTATTGAAGGGCTAGTCATAAATCTTCTGAGATGTCAACATAGACCTAACAACATGACTGCATAAATAGCTGACCCATTTCATTTTCTGGACAAGTTGGATCGTTTGGGGGCCAGGGAAATACTATGAATGATACAATCATAGGAAAGGATGTTTCTACAGTGACTACTCCTCAGATTCCTTGTTTCATATAATGCCCACAGAAGGTTTTTCTTGTAAGAAAAATAATTGAAAACTGGAATACATGAAAATAATCTGGCCATGATTTCTATCAATTTAAAAAACAAAACAAAAAACACTGATGCCATCCTCAACATCATTGGAGTTTTAAAATTTCTGTAGCACCTTTAGGGACACATGGAACTAAACTTAGAAACTCTGCAGTTCTACTTATGGCTTAGTGTGAGCTATGGCATTAAAATCATGTCAGGATTTAGGCCATGATTACATGACATCATGTAATAGATTATGTCTGTTTATATATTGCATGATATCATGTAATAACTGTTAGCTATTTGGGGCACAATGAAGTCGAATATCCCCTTAAATATGAGTGATTAAGAAAAGACTTGGAAAAAACATATGCTTCCTATGTTTAATTTTGTCTTGTTGCAAACATCATACAGAGTGTTAGTCCTTAGTGGACAAAATAGAAAATAAAGAAACACAATTCTAAGTTTGTCTGCTTCTCAGTTGCTTATTTTCATGGATGTGCTGAGAAGCAGATTTCAGAATGCCCCAACACTGGAAAACACAGCCTGGGCTTCTCTTCACAAGCATTCATGGCTTGCTATATTTTCAGGGACTGAAGGTGAGTGATATGTGTATCAATGAATTGAAAACAAAATGACAAAACACATAAGACAAGGCAACAAGGGAATAGCAAAACTAAATCTTGACATGGACAGAAATTCATAGATGCTGAATTTTTTCCAAGTGTGAATTTTTTACAAGTCTCCCTGTGTGTGTCCACGTTTCACAAATGTGAATGTGACTGTTGATGTCACTGGATATTAGAGGTTTCTCTTTTGATGGATTCAAGTAAAATGTGATTTGGATGAGTCAAGTTATATACTGTCTGGAGTAGCTGTTTTACCAAAGTTTTTCTTGCTTTTTACCTACAATGTAATAAAAAGAAGAAAAGATAAACCTCCCGCATGTCTGTTAGCTTTCCCAAAGGCTGAACCTGCACATTTCCTGTCACTGTCATCAGTCCTTCCTTAGCCTTAATCACCGAGCTGAAGCTCCAGACAACAGCTGGCCCTGGAACCCTCAAGGGGTTCAAATATTCATTCTGTTACTCAATTTTTTTCTATTCTACAAATCTTTAGAAAATAGTTTGCTAAGTAACAAAAGAAATTTAAAGTACAGTATTCTTTGCAAATATTTACTGTCTTTTTTATAAAAGCTGCATTTAAGAATGTCCCTCTGATCAAGAAATAGTAATTGTACAGTTTCTAGACAGAAAATCAAGTCAG